ATCGAGGAAAGAGTATTTTTCGCTGGAGTTACCTCCAACGCAGACGTCTTTTACAAGCCGAACTGATATTTTCCAAACAAAAACTATTAATATACTTTTTCTCTTCATCAGTGGGGACATCCAGCAAAGCATTTGCGAAAGGTTAGTTATTTAAACAAAACGAAACGGCTGAACAAAACTAGCCTGTACCCAGATGTTGTTTTATTTTTCTTTTCGTTCTTTTCGAAAACATCGACGAGCGAGGACGAGCGCGGAGCGCAAGAAGGAAAAATAAAGAATTTTCTCCTTCCCCAACCCAACCCCTTTCGCTGGCGGTCAGTAAATCCGCCGCGGTTTTTGTTTTTTATCACGCGCGCTCGACGGACTTTGAAGAGAAAATAGAGGGTCTTTGAACAGGCTAGAACAAAACGAAACATATTAAAGGTTTTTACTGCGGTATCATGCAATCAGTGAGCATAAATTTATTGTTAAACATACCAGTTATAGAGCGATAGATATTCTAATCTTAAAGAAGCAAATATAAGTCCTACTTAGACCGCGGTTTAGGACATTCAGTGGACCTTCAGATCTTTTCAAGTGTAGTAGGGGAACCCAACGACTGTTTTCTGTTAGAAGATTAAGCACAATCATTTTTTCCGGAAATTTCTATAGATAGCTCGCCGGAGAAACTGGGTTAAAAGTTCTAGATGGAATTCATATAAGTTATTCGAAGTTTCAGTCTATTAACCGTTCTATAATTTTCTGAAGGTTTAGTCATCACTTCGTAAAAAGGCCGGACTTCTAAAATTTTCGCCTTTGGAAACAGTAACGGAAAGGGGCATCGCAAAATGGTTAGTTTCCAGTAAAAAATTAAAATTTAAAACATCAAAGATTTTGGGACGCCCTAGGATGACCGAACAGATTAAAAGTTTACAGAGCTTTCTAGAACGCATTTGCAAAGCTTTGAAAACAATCTAAAAAGATATCCTAAAACAGTGGTTTTTGAAGAATATTGGAGAAAGCCGGTGATGGGTTTAACAGATATCTAATCTTTAAGAACCGAATAAACCTAAGTTCTATACCTAGACCACGAGATCTTTCATATGTTTCTGATGTAGGTTGTTTCAAGTAGCTCCTCCTCACTATATATGCCTACATTGATATACTAGTGCAATGATAAATATTTATATACAAGGATTGACCGAGCCAAGCAACGTGGGCCGTCTGCATATTTTCATGAAAAATTTTAGCTCCGTTAACCGAGTGAAATTGTTCACGTTTGCACTAAAGTAGACTCGGAAAAATGACTATGATTTTTTTTTTTTGCTATTAAGCTTTGAAAGTTCTTTTGACAGTAACTTCATTAGATCGGCATGCATGCAACAATTCGTCCCTTCAGGCTTCGCCTCATCAAAAAGTGGGTCTACGGGGTAACAATTGCTGGTGTCTGGGTTTTAACTGTAATTTTATCAACCGCCACTTTGATAATCAGACAACGATATGGAGAATGGTTATATAGTTATTACGTATGCATGGCAATCATTCATTTGTTTGAGTCAATTGGTTATCTAGTCTGTTTCTTACTCCTCCATTGTTCTAAAATGTATGTGTGGAGCGGTGAAATAACTATATAATTGTATGTGTCGATCAAATAGTATAGGGCCGATGTGTTTTTTGGGCTGATTGACGAACAAAGTTCTAATTAAAAAATATGGGGGTAGATATATTAAGGGGGAAGATGATAAGCAAAGGAAATTATTCAAGGTTAGCTTACTCTTTAGTGTAATATTTCCCAAAACAGGTCATGTGCAGATAATTTAAGACCGGAAGGTTATTCTTCGCCGGAGTAACACTGTCCAACGCAGATGCCTTTTACAAGCTTAACTGATGATTAATTTTTCAAATATAGATGCATATTTTTCCCATCGCTTTATGAGAGGAGACATCCAGCAAAGCATTTTGTGAAAGGTTAGTTATTTAAAAGAAGAAAAACAAAAAAAGTTTTAACTTTGGTATCATACAATTGAGTATTTCTTTAAGAACCGGATATTTGACCTAAGTCCTGCTTAGGACCTTCAGATCTTTTCATGTGGTAGAGGCACACAAAGACTTTTTTCTGTAGAGTATCTGTTCAAAGAAACTCAGTATTGTCTGTAGATTCCTATAGCTCGAGAAAGGTTTAAAATTCTTCGATGAATGTTCCATTGTTTGTCTCTGCAGTTTTTGGAATTCAGTCTGTTAATGTTTCTACGATTAACTGAATTTGGTTTTTTACATTTCTTTTGCCAGGTTTAGTCATCATTCGTAAACTTGAAGGACTACTGGAATTTTCGGCTCAGTTTCTGAAACAATAACGGAAAGAGGTATCGGAAAAAGTTAAGCTTAGAAAGCGCGCATTTTCAGAGCTATAAGAGCACTCTTACTAATTGAGCTATTTGGAAAGAACTTTTATATATCTAAAGCTCGTAAAACGAGCACATTTTGCAAATCCCTTAGCCCATTGTTATATCTAGGCTCCACTGTATATTGCCATATAAGCTGCTGTCGAGCTCACTATAGACGTCAGGCCTAATTTCCTTCGTTAAGTCGTAAAGGTTTTATTAATTTGGCGGAAGAACTTGTTACGACCCGTATTGGAGTTACAAGACAAAAAACATTGAAGATTGAGTTTCAAAATAAATGGTGGCAAAGTCATTTGACACAAGCTACGTCACATAAGAAATATTTATGGAGCTAACATGACAAGCAGTTCGGTCGACTTTGAAATTGATAGAAGATAACTGACAATGCAATCGACTTTTTCCGTTCTCACATGGATAATTGATTGTCTTAAAAGGGTTAGCTGAAATGGTCAGTCATTCTTATACTCAGGTGAACAAGCGCCGGCGTCTGTTAGTTAATTATTCAGCTGAAAACTATATATCAAACATTAATTTTATATTATCGCCCTCAGTTTTTAGTGAACTGATTGTAGTGTCTCCTCAAACCCCTTTGATATTTTCTTCCATAGGACAAAGCAAGGCTTTACACTTCAACTTTTCTGACACCAACCGAAAAACTTTTAGTTAAGGTGAGCATTTTTGCATAGTTTTATCAGACAATTACAGATCAAATAATGTTTTAACGGGGCTTTAATTATATACAAGTTAAAAAAATACAATTTAAAGAAACGGTTCGTGTTCGTTTAGTGCTCGAATGATAGACCGCGCGGCGATATAATCATTGCGACTGCCAGTCAAGTAGGGTCCATTTAATGTGGACTGATTGAAAGAGGAAGTTCAATTTAACAACTGAATGTTTAATTCAAAACCTTTTTTTAAGGCGGTACGTATATTAAGCGGAAAAATGATAAGCAAAGGCAATTATCTTAAGTGCAACATTTCCCCAAACAGGTGTTCAGATAATTTAAGACCGTATTAATCAAGCCGGACGTTATATTCTTCGCCGGAGTAACATCCAACGCAGACGCCTTTTTTGACAAGCCTAACTGATATTTTGCAAACTCGTTTTCCGCTTCGTCAGTGGAGGCATCCAGCAAAGAATTTTGTGAAAGGTTAGTTAAACAAAAGAAGAAAAGAAAATGCAACTCCATCGTAGAGTTGAGCATTTATTTAAGAACCGCATATTTTTAAAGCTAAGTCCTACTAATAGACGACTGTTTAGAACATTCATAGGACTTTTTGAGCTTTTTTGACCTTTTCAAACATGTGGTAGGGACCGGCGCAACGGTTGAATTTTTTCTGACTAAAGGAGCTCTAGCATTACAAAACAGTTAAAAATCTTATAGTGCTTCTTAGAAAGCATTTGCAAAGCTTTAAAAAAATCTAAAAAGATATCCTAAAATGATTATCATAGAATTTTTGAGAAGGCCGGGGTATGGTGTGTTGTTTCAAGCAGCGCCATGTTTCTTTCGCTCCTCACTATACATGCCTATACACATAAATGCTCGCAATGTTTAAATACCAGGAATTAGCCAGCTGAAAGCGACTTAGGCTCTCTTCATATGTTCATATGAGAAATTTCAGTTCCGTTAACCAAGTGAAATTGTTTACTTATAAAGTTATCAAAATATATGAAAATCATATATGAGAACTGCGGGGTGAAGAATTATATGAAAGAAGATCATCGCAGTTGTAGACGCAACTTTTGCACTTGGGAAAAGAAAGCCTTTTGCAGTTACGTATATAACTGCGATGATCTTAGTTCTTTCATATAATTGTTTATATATAGTTTGCATCAACGTAGAAAAAATGTTATTTCTGACGAATGAGCCCGCGAAGAAGGCAGAAATAAATATTTTGACGGCACGAGATACAACAGGGCCTGGGTACTAGGCCGGGTGCACCATGGGTAGCCATATCGGGGGTATATAAGGCTGCGTATATCACGTGTTCGTCATCTAGGCTTACGAACCAACCTCTCCTTGGTTTTTCTTAACGTTCTTATTGGCTCTTTCTTGCGTTATATCCGTCAGCAAAGACGACGTGTCCGATCTCATTGAGGAGAATAACAAACAGTTAATGGACTCGTTTAAAGTTTTGCTAACAGAAACCGTTGGTCAAATCAAGCGCGCTAATGAATATTTGGCCGAGCAGCAGATGAAGGAAATTAAGAAACTAAAGTATAACGAACCACGTAAGTTGAAGAAGAAGGCCAACGAAAACCGGTTTTAAAGGATCCACAGTGCAGAATTTTGCGGCCGTGTAGCGTACTAGGCCCGTAAGAAGAATAAGACCACTCAAAAACAGATCCTCGCCAGTGGGAACGCCGGCGTCCACCTCAACTTCACATATGTAACCCCAGCCTCATGTCAAACGTTCCTGTTTTAATTTTCGCCTTCTCGACGACCCAGTGTCGGGACCTGTTTTGCCCGTGGAAAGCGTTCCTGTTACCCGACGATGGACAAGCCAAACATCCCAAACTCCCAAATGGCTAGATGAAGGACAACAATCAGGTGCAGTCTATTCTAATTTAGTACTGAATTTTTTAGGCGGCAAGCCGTAATATGGATCAGGATTGTCTCGATATTATACCAGTTTCTTCTGACGTTCACCCCGCTAGTTTTAGGCGCGGTTTAGAGCTCTGAGTGTACCGTTGATATTTCTATTCTGCCTTCAGTTTGGGGAAGATTTTTCACAGTTATCTATTTCTGGCATACTTTGCTAGTTTCTCTGTTCATTTTGAATGTTTTTAGTCTTAGTTACAAATTCCCTTCTTCCAGCTTTTTATGTTTTTTTACAAATCCTACAATGCCTCTGCACGTGTTTACAGTTCTTTTTGTCCGTAGCTGTTAATGAGCTTCCCAGCCTCAACCTCCTTTTAAAAATTTTTGCATTCTAATATCATTTACCCGCTTTCTGTTTGACGCGCCGCTCCGGCTAACAAAGGTTAATCCTGGATTTTAGGCACGTTTGCACTTTTTTCTTCAAACAGAAATTCAAGTGCGAAGACTTGTCCATGGCCACTTATATTTTTGATATGGGTTTTTATTTATTCATATTTTACCTCTAGTGCGGTTATCGTAATTTTCCCTGATCACCAGTTTTTCCTTGCGTTCATCTGCGATCTCGGCACCTGGGTTTTTAGGTATTTTCTACTTTGCGCGCTTCCCTTTGGATTCTTGTCAGCCTCCCTCAAACCGCTTCAGAAATCTAGAAGAAGCCAAGGTATCCCTATTGCCATTTTTCTTGACAATGGTCTAGCTATAGGAGGAGGAGCCTATCGCGTTCAGGCCTTAATTTACAGTTTGCGGGCTGTCCATGCCGATTTGCTTTAGTCTCGCTTTGTTCGAATTCCTATGAGGAAAAGTCCCTGTGGGAGCCCGTTCGAATTTTCTAGTGGCTTCGCGTTCATCTCAACATAACACTCTGGATGGAAGTATTAGAGCCACGGATGAACGCATTGCTAAATTGTCTCGCGACCTGGCGGCTTTGTCTTCATATTAGTCGTCCACCACAGTCCACGTTCTACGCGTCCCGTGTGTAGCCGCCCATTGTATTTCCGTCTCGGGTAGCGTGGGATCCGTCGCGTGCATTATGGCCCGATTGCTTTTCTCAGTTGTTTACTCAGCTGTTTCCTGGGATAGCTAGGTTTTCCTGTCCGTTGATTCTTTGTATGAAATTGAATTTTGGTCGAATTATGTTAGCCTCTCTACGGCAAAATTTATCGAGGGGTTCCAGTTCGCTTCCAGTGAGAGTAAGCTCCGGCTTCTCCGATGCTTCCGATTCAGCCTGCGGCGTTTAAGTGGAGTCTGAACCTGAGTTGATTTTTCATCAGAATTGGTCGGAAAGTGTTCGTAGATCGACTTGAAGAGAGCTCAAAGCGGTTTGTCTTGCCTTACTAGCCTTCGCGAGCCCTTCATCTAATTCCAAGGTTTTTTGGTATTCTGACAACCAGAACGTCGAATCCATTCTCCGCGACGGCAGCAGGAAATGCGATCTCAAAGAATTTAGCCCTAGTTGCTTTTCAAATTTGCTCCCGTCATTGTATTTCGCTCGAGGTCAAGTGGATCCCTAGGGACCTGAACGCTAGTGCGGTCTGTATCTGCAAGCTCGTTGACTTCGATGGTTACGGCCTCAACGATTTTGTTTTGCTAGGGCTAAATCACCTCTTAGGTCCTTACATTATTGACAGGTTCGCCTGTAGTTACAACGGCGAGTTGCCTTGGCTTAACTCTCTATTTTTTCAGCCAGGCTGTTAGGCTGTTTATGCCTTCGCTCAAAATTGGGGATAGGACAACAACTGGCTTGGCCCACCTGTTTGCCTCATTGTCAGAGTCATGTATATCAGGCACATTGGGCTCTGCGCGCTCACGGGAGCCCTTATTCCTCACGTATGGAAGTCAGCTATTTTCTGAAATGTTTCTACTAAAGATGGAGTGCATTGGAATAGTTTTGTTGTGGACTGGGTTTTATTGCTTAAGTTCCAGGGATTATTTGTTCCAGGGAAGGTCCGTAATTCCCTTTTCAGAACCAGGCCTTTATTTTTTGGCGTCATAGCGCTTCGAGTTTGTTTTCGGCGCCCCCACCTCCCTCGTCCCTGGCGGGCTTCTGCTCTACGCCGCCTGACGGAAAGTGTTGCCTGTGCCTCTACACGCGTGTTATGCGTACCTTTAGGTTTGGACCCATTAGGTTTTTGCATGTAGCCTTTTGCCCCCCACTTCCCTTTTCCGGTGTTTTTTCTTTTTTATTGCGTGATCCTCACATTTTCTTTTGTATTTTCGATTACTTTTCAGATATATTCCGCTCTGGTTTCTAGCGCGGGCCCCAGAATTTCCCACCAGAGGGTTGAACCCTGAGGCTGACAGACAGTCTACAATGCAATCGACGGTTCTCTCCTCAAAGGCAGTTAGTACGACAGCGGTGTACCTTCGTGCTTCTCGCAAGTAAAAATGTTTTGCTGCCAGTAAGCTTCATTCCTGGGCCTGTCCTGCCAGTCCCTGCCATGTTGCCTTGTATTTGCAACACCTCATTGAAGAGTCGCACTCCCCGTGCGTCGTAGACTCGGATGTTTATGGTATTAAATGGGTTCATACCATGGCGGGTTTCCCCTCTCCCAGGGATAACTCGATTATTGAAGGGCTAGGTGTGTTTTCAAAACGATTTTAGGTTTGATGAGGTCTCCATAATTAGGGGTATTATATTTTCTTTCATGAGGGTTTCATGATCATTAAGGTTCTCAAAAGCAAGAACGACCAACTTTGTAAGGACGATGACTCGAAGTGATTTTTTCGGAAATGTTTGGCCCTGCTTGTCCTGTCAAGCTTCTAAAGAGGTACCTTGCTCTTTTTTCCATCCCCTTTAGCTCCGGGGATCTCATTTTTGCCCCATGTTTCGCGGGAACAACTCTTTTTAGTTAGTTTCCCAGAACGAGCCTATACCACAATTAGAGAGGCTTTTCGCAAGGACCTGAGAATTGTCGGGGTTGACTCTTCCACTTTTGGTTTATATTCCTTGCGTTCGTGAGGGGCCACCTTCGCTGCTTATAATGGGGTTTGTGACAGTGTGTTTCAGTGGCTCGGCCGCTGAAAGTCCGTTCTAGCCAAGGGCGCCTACCGATGATGACCTAGAAAAAGGCTTTCAGTTTCCAAGTTTCTTGGGCTCTAGGAGCTTTCATTTGTCATTTCGCCCAATACTTTGTCACTCTACGTACTTTGTAGGGTTGGTTCTCGCCAAGCCGTCCCAAAATAAACTTATTTGCCATTACGTTTTGTCTGTTGATGTTGTGTAGTGGAGTCAAAATATGTTATTTCTGACGAATGAGCCCGCGAAGAAGGCAGAAATAAATATTTTGACGGCACGAGATACAACAGGGCCTGGGTACTAGGCCGGGTGCACCATGGGTAGCCATATCGGGGGTATATAAGGCTGCGTATATCACGTGTTCGTCATCTAGGCTTACGAACCAACCTCTCCTTGGTTTTTCTTAAATTTTTGTTTTATTTATTTTTAGGAGCAACATATTCTCGATTACATTGTAAAGTCCTGTAGGAAGGGCTTTGAGCTTGAGCCTTGGTTCCTACTTCCAGATTTCCTGCCCGCATTTTTTCCCTTCGGGGTTTTTTTTTGGGGCAGGTTTTTTCTGGCCTCCGTCTGACCGCATTTACTTCAGTTTGTAAGCGGTAGCTCAGCTCTGCTAGTTTTCAGCCTTTTTCCCGTTTCTTATTTTATGTACTTGTACACTAGTTATCTCAGTTTTGCACCTGCTCCTTTACTTGATATATTTAGTTTCCATGTATGCTTAGGTCAGCTGTCCCGGAACCGCTCTTTAGGAGGCGACGTAAGTCTCGTTTGACGCAGTTAGGTTGCAGGCAATGTTACAGACCTCTAGCCAGGGTCGTTATTCATTGTTTACCCTCAATGTCCCGCCCTAGCCTTTTATGGCAGTCTTACTGGTTATTGGGCTACGTGCCTTGTTGGGTACATTAGTGGAGATAATTCCCAGTTTTCCTGGCACTCAGCCTCTGTGCTCCTGAAGTGTTCCCGGTCCCAGTTATACGTTGATCACAGTTTTATTAAATTTCCCCGGCCTAACTGGCACTAAGCCTGCGTGCTTATTTGGGGGATTCAGGTCGAGATCGACCAGTTGTAGCAGTTTTTTTCTTTTTGCTTAGCCTCTGTGCTCCTACCGTGTTCCTCGTGCCAGTTATGCGTTGTCTGAGTTTTATTAATTAGTTTCTCCAGCCTAACTGGCAGCCTAACTGGCACTAAGCCTGTGTGCTTATTTGGGGATTCAGGTCGAGATCGACCAGTTGTAGCAGTTTTTTTTCTTTTTCTTAGCCTCTGTGCTCCTACCGTGTTCCTCGTGCCAGTTATGCGTTTTCTGAGTTTTATTAATTAGTTTCCCCAGCCTAACTGGCAGCCTAACTGGCACTAAGCCTGTGTGCTTATTTGGGGGATTCAGGTCGAGATCGACCAGTTGTGAGGAGTTTTTTCTTTTTGTTTAGCCTCTGTGCTACTACCGTGTTCCGTGTGCCAGTTATGCGTTGTCTGAGTTTTATTAATTAGTTTCCCCAGAATGACTGGCAGCCTACCTGGCACTAAGCCTGCCTACTTAAATGGGAGATTCAGGTCAAGAGCGACCATTTGTCGCACGAGTTTTATCTTTTTGTGAAAGCTAGTTTACAAGTGTTGTACATTAGGTATTCACCAGTATTCACCTATTATTGTATTTACATAAATACTTTGTAGGGTTGGTTCTCGCCAAGCCGTCCCAAAATAAACTTATTTGCCATTACGTTTTGTCTGTTGATGTTGTGTAGTGGAGTCAAAATCTATGATTTGAGTATTGTTAGCAGTAGCTCTGAAAGTTCCATGACCATTCGCTGTTTAAAATCAAGAGTTCCCTTTTTATGATAACTTTTATAACTTACAAAACAGGAAAACACCATTAAACTTCCTTTGTTTCAGCAGAGACGCATGCGGAATAAAAACTAAATCGTTTGTGCCAGCAACCGATACTGTCAGTCAGCGTCCTAATGAATCTCCCTTAGTGATCTTTGCGGAACTAACATCAACCTTCTTTGTTCACGTTCTTAATGGATTTTTTTCTCAAATTCCTCTGAAAGGTAGACGAGTAACAGAGAGAAAAAGGGATTAAAAGTGTGAAGCGAAAAATATAACAAACCATGATATCATCCTAGTGCATCACCTGGCTCGCTGTATTCCTTACCGTGTCTGTTGCTATAGTAACAGTGAACCAACTATCAATTGTTCTTTTTATTAATAAAACCGCAGTCTTCGCACTCGTGCCATGTACCTAGTTATAAACCTGACCATAGCTGATATGTTTGTAGGAGGATTTTCTCACTTTTCTCTATTTGTAACCTTACTCTACTTATGAGACATTATGCAATTTCCGCACTTACCCTGCAACTGACATTAACAACTGTCCGGCTTTCTCTTCGTCTGGTTTCCTCTGACCTCTCTTACAAACATTGCAGTAATTTCATTGGATCAGATGCATGCAACAATTCGTCGCTTTACAGCCCTTAGGTATAGCCTCATTAAAAAGTGAGTCTACGTTGTAACAATTGCTACTCTTGTCTGGGTTTTGCCTGCAATGTTTATTATACTAATCCTTAAGAATCGAATGTTTAACCAAAGTCCTATATTTAGCACATCTAGAACACCTTCAGTCTTTTCATGTGGTAGCCCGGGGCACCCAACGACTGGTTTCTGTGAAACAGCTGTTCGAAGAAGCACATATTATCTAGAGATTTCTATAGTTCGAAAAAAGTTTCAAATTCATAGATGAATGTGTCATTCATATCAGTTTTTCGAAGTTTTCAGTCTATTAACTTCTCTGATTGAAGTTGGGAATGGGATTTTCACTTTTCACTTGTCTTCCCAAATTTGGTCATCATTCGCAAAAATGGACTACTTATAATAAATTTTGGGCTTTAAAATCAGTAACGGAAACATGTACATCGGAAAATGTTGAGTTTTCTGTATATTTAATAGATCAAAGATTTTCAAAAAAGTAAAGCGCTAATAAATTCGCATTTCCGTTAACATTCCAATTTAAGTTACACGGTTAAACCTCATTTGCTGCAAAATAACTTCTTTGTCTTATCCAAATCGTTCTATGAAAATAACTACATAGCGATAAATCAAAACAAGATCAACTCCATCCTTGCGACCACTGACAACTATAAACTGAATTTAGCTTGCGTAGCAGGTGTCGAAAGGGGTAGGGGATAGGGAGGAAGCGAAAAGGGGATGTGGATTGGGGAGAAATAGTAGCCTGTCACGCAGGCTACTATAAATTCAGTCATAAGCACATTAAACCAACCCATACATGTAACCGGCCGACACGACTTAAGGCCCTCATCAGTCATATTTTCATGAGAAATTTTAGCTCCTTTAACCGAGTGAAATTGTTCACGAAGAGTTTGCATGAAACATTTCATTTTTTTCGGGTCTCACTATGGACATTTGATTGTCTTTAAGAAGGGTTAACTGAAATAATAGTCACATTTTCGTTTCGGTGATCAATTACTCCCTATATACCAAACAGACCTTCAATATTTTTGAAGAGCGAAATAGAAATGTTAAAAAAAGTTTTAATGTGATAGATTCAAATACAGTTTTAGCCACAGTTAGATTGTTAGTTAACTAGTTAGTTAGTAGTACCCTTTGCATTTTACCACGAACATGTTTTTCTTCTGATGTAATAATCTATTTTTAGCTGTATATATCTAGCCGGATTTTTGAAAACGTTATCGTCAAATGGACCTTTTCCGTCCAACAGGTTCTTTCGGCCAAAAACTATATCCAAAGTAGGTCATTATAAAAACTAAGAGTGCAACCATTGCTTTGTTTTTTCTTCTCCTCCTCTCCTGATCTCCTCACTCTTTCTTTTTCTCCTTTCCTTTTCCTTCATTACTGTAATTTTGGAGACCGTTTTCGGGCTTAAGAAACCTGCCTTTTGACGCCTTTTCACTCAAATGACTGTAAATTTCGTTAGTCGTAAAGCGTAAGGTTTTCAAAACATCGCTTAGATATATACTTGTCTATTATTTTATCAGCCGGATGTAGAGCTATTTTCTATGGAAATGCTGTAAATAAACCACGTCCACCTTTATTAATATTATACTCACAGTGAACGAGCGCCGACGTTAATTAGTTTTAAATATTCAGCTGAAACAAAATTTAATGCCCTCAGCTTTTAGTCAACCAATTTATCCTAATCTCCCCTCAAACGTCACTGATATTTTTTCCACAGGTGAAAACAAGGGTTTTTACTTCAGCTTTTGTGAAGGCAATTTGAAATACTGTAAGTTAAAGGTGAAATTCCTGATTCGAGTAATTGTTATTCATGTATCTTCATTACTGATGTTTGAAAATTTGAAAAACAGACGTCAGCCTTTTTTGTTCACCTCCTATTTTTCTTTTCTAATTAACCAATTTGAAACTTTATTCAATTCAAATTCAATTCTTTCTAAAGGGAGACTAACAACAGAAGAGAACTGGTAAAAGTGTGAAGCGAAAAGAAGTAAAAGAACACAAGTCATGCTGCGGGTTTCGTCATCCGAGTGCATCACCTGGTTTGCTGTATCCCTTACCGTGTGTGTTGCTATAGTAACAGTGAACCTTCTATCAATCATTCTTTTTATAAAAAAACGCAGTCTTCGCACTCGTGCCATGTACCTAGTTATAAGCCTGACCGTAGCTGATATGTTCGTAGGAGGATGTTCTAACCTTTTTCTATTTCTATCCCTCTCAAACACATGCGACATTGTGAAAATGCACTTAAGCCTGGAACAGTCTGGGATATCTATTTTTCTCTTCCACTGGTTTCCTCTGACCTCTCTAACAAACATTGCAGTCATTTCATTTGATCGGATGCATGCAACAATTCGTCCCTTCAGGCATCGCCTCATCAAAAAGTGGGTCTACGGGGTAACAATTGCTGGTGTCTGGGTTTTAGCTGCAATGTTATCAACTGCCATTTCAATAATTACACTACGACGTGTAGAATTGTTATATAGGGTTTATGTAAGGCAGTCATACTGTTATTTGTGTCTATTTGTTATCTGTGTTTCTTACTCTTCCATTGTTGTTAAATTTTTGTGTGGAGCGCATCCTCAGCACCATGGTGCAGCCAACAGACAAAAGAAACTGACCGTAACATTATTTATAATGACTATCGTATCCTTACTGATGTGGCTACCATCTTTGGTTTTTAATTTTCTTTTTGCTCAATCGCGTTTGAAATTGCTTTCTGAACAGGAAATGTTTCGTTTGGATTTTTCTTTAGTTATTCTATTTATGATGAACTCGCTAGTTAATCCCATCGTTTACACAATCAGAATTCCAGAGTTTAGAAAAGCTCTCCTGGTATTATTTAAACGTCAACGAAGACAAAATGCCCGAGATATTCCTCTTCATGCGCTTTAATGTATTTTGTTTAACACTTGGAAGCCAACTAATGATTTAGTCATCTTCGTTAAAAAAAAAAGTGGCTGATTGTGTACTATTATTGCGGCTTTAAGTTCGATAAAAAAGGCCGTAAATAGATGTTGTGGTGCAATTTTTTCATTGGTTTAAACGCTATTTTCCTTTTCTTAAACTCTGATGCGCAATCGTACATATAACCATACCGCAAAACAACGGAAAACAAAATTTAAACCATTGATGAGTTGAACCACCTGAACCACGGTATTTCGTCAGATACTACAACTAAATGGTTTAGTATGCTTCCAGAATGAAAAGATATTCTTTAAATTCCTTGTTTAGAAGTAGTCATGATTATGATTGTGGCGGAAAAAAGGATATATTCATTATGTACATTAAGCGCAGAAGCAGCCTTATACCCAGGCCAGTTCGCGCTATCAGAGTTACCAGAAGAGGGTTGGAACCGAGTGCGATAGTCTTTGGCAAGTTTTCCGACAAGCTTTACAGGTGACGTCACATCTGATATCGCCGAGGACGGCAGGGAACGAGGCTGGCGCAGAAGTTGTTTCGTCCTTAATTTGTTGTTTCACAACGTGATATCTACTTAATGCGGCTTGTTTCAGTTGAAGGCAAAATAGTACCTGTGTCAGCAAAATCAGCATTCTAAGAGAATTCAATAAAGTTACTAGTTACACAGGATTTCTTTACGTTCTTATCTGTGTCTGGAATATCACAAGGAATGGGCCGGAAAAACGCTGAAATGGGAAAAGCACAATTCAGTGTCCTAAGGATGGGAAACGTCATGAGAGGATTATGGGAATGTTGTTTTTCCTCGTCGTGTGGTGAAGGACATTTGTGTACAGCTTGCCAGATACATTCAATACTCTTTCTGCCACTATTGTTGAACATTTACGGGTCTTTTTTTGAGGGATGATATACTTAGCCAAATCTGGGAAGGGAACTCAATTGAAAAACTTTGAAAATCTTTGATGAATGAAGAGTCATCAAAACTTTTGAACCTTTCTCGAGCTATAGAAATTTGTAAACAAGAGTTTTGCTTCTTTAAAGATATATTTTACATCAGAAAACTTTCCCCTGATAAATGAGGATGGAGACAGATCAGATAGTCTGGATTGAATATTGGCATCACTGGAAATTTAATCCATTAAATCCATGCATCTTGTCAGTTCGTGTCCTTAAACTGCGCCATGAATTCTTGGTGAAAGGTTCTTAGTGGCTCAAACATTGAAGCGAACGTCTCTTCAGAAGGACGAATAGTGATCCTACCAAGAAAGATCAAAACATAAAACCGTTTTAACTTATTTCCTTCTTATAGATAGTGGGCCTGAAAATAAAAAAAGCTTTGGATTATTTTAACCCATAATGTGGAGGTAAAACTTTGTCCAATTTCATCAGACTTTCACACGCTGACAGAACGTCGCTTTTAGGACACCTTACAGATCTCTTTTCCTACGAAAATTTAAGCTCTGGTCCATAACGTATAATCCCGGTTGAAAACCTTTCCATTTGTAAACACCAACTTTACTCCAGTTGCAGGCCCTCCACTAAGCCCCCATCACGCCGGCTATGGGCCAATCTGTGAATACCCTTATCGCGTTCGTCATAACGCATCCTAATTTTGTGTTGCTGTGGTACAAAGGCAGAATTTGTCGAGCTATCACGGGCGACTGCCGATTAGCGGCCCCTATTAATTTTATCAGGGGCAACCCGCCGCAGGAAACTGGACGCCTTTGGTCTCGTTTTCGTTTCCTTTAGTCTCGTTTTTGTGCAGATGGCATGCTAGTAGAATAAGACGAACGCGGATCCATAATCAATGATTATAACTAGTTATATGGGTGGTTCCGCGAACGTACAAGATGAGGAGAATAATGCGTTCTGATTGGTTACAGGAGCAACAAAAGAAACATTGGTAATTTGCAAGGTATTACGAGATTTTTGTCGACGACCCTTTTCTGTTGTGTCCTTTGCCTGTTTATTTTATAGGTTTCTGGGAAACTGCCCACCTATAACCCTCCCCTAAGCCAACATTAACACTTACTTCGCACTGAGGGCAAAATGATGGCTTAGGAGAGGGGTAGGTGGACAGTTTCCAAGAAACCTATAATGATCCGTTATTTTGTGGTGGTGGTGGTGGTGGGAAAGGGGGGGAGGTTAGGGAGAGCGATCTTTCCAAATTTAAAGGTGCAGTCAATCTAATCAATCTAAATATATTAGACAAGCCTGTGAAAACCTTGTGACACAAGGGCGCAAATGATATCACAGAGAGGTTTTTAAAATCTGCAAAATTCCGACTTGAAGTTGATGGCCCTTGTTAATTCAAATCTTACCTATAGTAAAAGTTGTTACCGCTGCCTGCCATATCAAAGACGTGGCCAGGAATCATGTAAATTCCAGTTTTCTCCAGCGCCTACCAACAGTAATATATAGATTTAGCCACGGCTAAAAGCGAAGCTCTCGATAATATTTATAGTTTGTTCAAACAAAATATAAAATCGTGTAATGCTAAGCGGCGAAGGCAACGCCGGAGAACGGAGAAAAAACAACAATAGGTCTAATTAGCAAAAAAGCAACTTTGCACGTGCAACACACTTTTTTTGGACATTTCTTTGCCGTTGTTTTGCACGACCACAACGTGAAACGTCCAGAAACTTTTTTGTGGAGGAAATGTCGTACGTGTTCTCGTTCACTTTTTTTTTTTTCACTGCCGCTCATTTACGCTTTTCGGTTTTGTCTTTATTGACTCTTTAGTTGCCTCTGCTTTAGAGACGCGGATGGCTATGCGATTTCCCTCCTAAATAACCTCGAGTTGCATTTGGGTTACCATACCTGTTGATTGAGTTATTTCACATTGGTATGCCTGTGGTGCGGACGGACGGTCGGGCGTACGGTCACGTGATTACCAAATTTTCTTGGATGGGTAGTTTACCACATTTTCTTACCCATGGTGCTCCGCAGGCGCGCTTCGCGCGCCAGAGCTCCGCTAAAACTCGTCTGGGGGCATTTCCTTGGCCTAAATAACAATGGCAATACAAACAACTCAGTAACCTAAAAAAATATCTACACATTACTTTTGTCCACCCAAAATCCTTTCACTTTGCTCACCAAACAGACCACATACATACTTTCCTTGTAAGGGGAATATCTGTATTTCAAAGAATCCCTCGATGAAGCCTTTACTGGGAACTGTTACTAGATCGATACGACATATGAAATTTAGCAATGCAATATGGAAAGTTGAGAAAGCGAAATTTTAATTTTTGCGGGACCTTATCAGCAGCCTGAATAAGATGGGAGCCTATAGCGTCTTTTTTACTTTTGCTAACCGAAGAACGCCTTTTTGTGAAAACTGACACGGCGGGAAACGGTTTGGCATTAGTCTCATAGAAGGTACATCCACCAGAATCTTGGCTTCTGGATCGCACGTTGTGGATTCCGGATTTTATGCTGTAGACCCCCGATGGCAGGGACTGGGTTCCGTATTTCTTTTCAGTGAAACGTGGATTACAGATTCTAATCGTTAGCGAGATTCCGGGCTTCTTATATGGAGCATTCCCCAGCTGTTAAAAAGGTGGATAACGCTATCCACAGGATAAATCTCTGTCCAGTGGATAGTGCAATTGGTTTCGCTAATACCTATCCACTGGATAATGATTTATCCGGTGGATAGCGCTATCCATCTTTTGAACAACCGGGTCTGAATTCCGAAACTGATTCCGGATCAGTCTACAAGAAAAAAATTCCCTGGTTCCTGAATTCGGATTACCGTACACCTAGGATATCCATTACTGACAGTATTATAATCTGGATTACCGTACACCTAGGATATCCATTACTGACAGTATTATAATCTGGATTACCGTACACCTAGGATATCCATTACTGACAGTATCCTGCAGTGTGGCTCTAGAAATCAGGACCGGAAACAGGACATGATACCTTGGCTGCCTCGATAGCTTTCTTTGGAAGTGTTATCCTCGGAAATGCATACATTGCACCTGCCACCTCGTTACACTTAACATTTTCCATTGAGTTAAGGACCTCCGTTGTCATCTTTACTTTCTTCCTGTAAGAATCCTTGATGGATGTTACTTCCTGTAATACGGATAAAACACAAAATAATGCATTAGGCAAGAGGGAATACTGGAGGTAATCACCTCTATACAATTTCCCTAGTGCGTCGCAATCAAAGATCATTTTTGCGTTCGATGTACGAGAACGCAACCCCTAATTTGTGTTGGGTGGTCTGTACATTATTGGGTGTCCTGTGCAATTAATAAGGGAGGTTTTTTTGAGATTGCATTTTCGCCGTCGTCGACACACATTTGCCTTGCTTTGGGGCGCTTGCTTACATTTTGCCTCACTTTGACGTGCTAACTCGTGGTGATTCTTGTGTCCTCGGCGTTCATCTTTCAAAGGTTTGCTAAGGTCTAATATTCTGTCTTCGTACAGCGTTCATCTTTTAAAAAGTTTGCTGAATCTTCGTAAAGCGTACATCGATCTGTGTTTGCTGAATCGTCCAAGGCGTTCATCTTTTAGACGTTTGCTGTTAAATTTTACTTTGGATTAAGCCTTCATATTTTCCAGCATGGTTCGTTCCTGTCTTTGGGAAATGTCTGCGACTAATGATGCATGCATCAAACCGGGTTTAGTTCGGCGGCCGTTGTGCCACAAAGTAAATTTACCGAGTTGTGTAGCTCGGCGGCCGTTGTTTCACAAAGTAAATCTACCGAGTTGTGTAGCTCCGTAGCCGTTGTGCCACAAAGTACTTGAAATCTACTGAGATGCGAAGCTCGGCGGCGCCACTTGATCATGACTTGTGATGTTTTCGGCACCGGACAAACGAACACTTTAACTCTATGTTATTTATTAGGAAAAACTTATAAACCACTCTCGAGTCACTGAAATCAACACGCTCGACCAAATTACTGGAAAAGTTATTGACATGAGCCGCACACATATTCCATTGAAGGCTTTGACAGGGTTAGTACGAAGTTTGATTTCAGATGTAAAAGCTTGTAAAACAGTAAATTCAATGTAATTCATTTTGTCAACAAGTTGATGATTGGATGCTGCTAAAAATAACAGAGAAAATTGTCCGAAGAAATGTTTTTGAAGAAAGAAAAAGAATCCCGGGTTAAGCCCTAATCAGCCTTTGAGCAACTGCGCCCTGTAACTCGCGCCAGTAAAACAAAATGTTCTATTAACACGCCCGACACACTCTGGCCAATGTCCCCTCCGATTACAAGCACTTGACACCTAACCATACGATATCTTTTCAAGACCTTCTTATAATGATACACAGTTTAAATAGAGGTTTCAGTGTACGCAACCCTTAAGTTCAAAATATGCCATAATCATATTTATCCATATCGCAACCACCCTTCCCCTTCAACTGCTACCTGTACGCCCAACAAACATCGAACGCACTCCCCTAAGCTCCGATTACTCCTAGTCTATACATTTATAAGAAGATTGCCAAATGAACTCGACCTAGTCCCTTAGCGACTCCAGCACTTGGCAAACTTTACTTGCGTAAGACTCGAATCTCACGTTTTGATTGGGCAAAAGAATCAATGGAAACCCCTTTCCTGCGTGCCAGAGACTTTTCACGCGCCGCTTCCGGTTTTTCAAATCTTTATCACCACTCGTGGCTTCGGCCCGCGAGCCGAAGGATCCCGCCACCCGCAAGAAAACCTCTGGTACCCAGGGTAAGAGGAACAAGACGCAGTGTGAGCGTATATTTGGGCGTAGTCGTACTACGGGTATGATACTTTGAACATGCCTTATTGCAGCTAAAAAACTGTCATCATATCTTACCAGGGAAGACAAATCCTTTACTCCACTTGTTTGCTGAACCACACAGCTTATACAGTATGTCCCAGTCCACAACAAAAATAGTGTAACTTCACGACACTGTTTGAAAATATGCACATCTTCAATGCAGACATGCTTGGAGCCAAATTACAACATAGGACATAAGTGGTTACAGCCCAGAGAGTAAGGTTTATCTCAGCTCCACTGATACTGACAGATGTGTTTTCACACCCATCACTTTGTACAGTGTATTCCGGTTACTAAGAAGGGCAAATAAAGTTCCTTAAGTCCAGTATCCACAAGGATTAATAAGAGAGTAACACATTGCATAAACTGCTATACACGCCGGGTCAGCTGTCATCAAAAAGTGATCTCTTTCAAACTAGTTTTTCAATTTTTAACCGTTTGAGCTGAGACTTTGCATGATAATAGAACTTTGTTTTCCCAACAATCGCATGTTTTTGGATTTTTGATTTTAACGGTTTTTGGAGCGAAAATGACGTCATAAGATTGACAGCAAAATATAAGTTTCAACTTATGCCCTAACAGGTTAGCAATTTTGACAGAGTACTCAGAGAAGACCTTGAATGTGAAAAAAGTTTTGGAAAACCTCATTTGGTTAAGAAGATATGACATTCTAAAGTTCACCAAATTTCTAAAAATAGTAACAAAATGGCGGAAAATACGAAATTCACAGCTCAATAACTTTTCAACCAATTAAGCTTTGTAAATACTTTTTTCACATTTGAGCTCATCTCTGTGAGTTCTTTTAAAAGTTCCAGTTTTTTACGCCATAAGTCGAAAACTACTTTTTGCTGTCAATCTTATGACGTCATTTTCGCGCCAAAAACCGTTAAAATCAAAAATCCAAAAACATACGATTGTTGGGAATGCAAAGTTCTATTATCGTGCAAAGTCTCAGCTCAAACGGTTAAAAATTAAAAAACTAGTTTGAAAGAGATCACTTTTTGATGACAGCTGGCCCGGGGTGATAGGGCAGCACTGTTTACAGGAACATTGGTAACTATTAACATTTGATATACTACAATTTTCAACATTGCTTGAGAAAAGATGAGGTTCAAAGGTGGCAATATGTACACCTTTAAGTTCATATATATCCTCATTCCTATGTAGAGTCTGAAAATATTGTACTAATTTATGCATGGATGGTATTTCCAACAATACACATGTCCCTTCACTATGACTGTTATGATACATATCTCTAGCATGAGAATCAAATGCATTATATCCCCCAGCCTCAGTGCTGTAGATACCAAGACCAATAATTGCCACCATTAAAATGAATGAGTTGTAGTTCAGTGCCAAGAGTGTTTCAAATGCTGTAACCTGTGAGTGTGACTGTCACTGTATTCAAGGTGGAAAAATTGCTCAAACACTGTAACCATTCCTGGCAATTCTGTTAACATTGACATAGATTGTCTTACAAGCAGTGACAGACAAGAATATAATTGAATACCAACAATCATTATTTGAGTCATATCAACTGAAATAATCTTTGTTATCTTACTGTAAATTAAAGCGCACAGACTCACTGCGACACATCATTGTCCACCATTTTCCCCAAATCCTGTAACATTTCCTTGACAGTATGGAGCATTAATTGTTTTTGTAGCATCTACATAAACTGAAAGTCCTGGATTCTTCTCTATATCAGCACAAAGCTTAAATTGGCCAAAATTAACCCGGTGATTCAAACTGTTTTAAGCAGTATAAAATGGATAATTACATGTACAGAGGGGCAAATTCTTACTTAGAAGCCTATTTGGATATCTCATTCCACCTAAATTGCCTGTGCTCTGATGCTTGGACGGCAGATACACCTTCCCTCGTTTACGAACTAGTTTTGGAGGTGCCCCTTAAGTAAAACCCCACACTGTTACAGTTACTTCTGTACCTGTTTAAGTGTAAACCTTTTGTACTTTTAACGTAACAATGAATTTCAGACGACAATGGTGTATTTTTCCGAATACTCTTCCATACAAAGAGTGTCACTTTCCGTGTTTTCTGTAACAAAGATTTTATTTTGTTCATTGGTAGTCTGCTAGGGGCATGACGGTAACCGGTCATTTCGTTCCATGGTCAGATCCTTGACATTGTTCCAAGTCAGATCGTTCCAATCAATAGTCAGATCGTTCCATGAAATAGTCAGTTCGTTCCACAAAAAAGTCAGTTCGTTCCACATATGAAAAGTCAAGTACATCTTTCTAAATTTGTTGAGTGAACTTTACCGAGAAGAAAAACGTTTCGTTCATACCAGAAGCTGATAAAATAAGAAAGGGCGTATGGAAAAGAACGAATCCGGAATCCGGAAACGGAAACGGAACCGGAACCGGAACAAATAAAAATTGCAGACGTTTCTGTCTTGAGAGTGTCACTAACAATAATTGCTCGATCAAGACTTTTCATTCCCACATTATATTTATCTATTGTTAATATATTTTTTACTGTCCCACTTTTTGCGTACGGTGCAAAATTTTTCTTCGAGAATTTCATATACGCGTGAGCGTTGCAACTTGGGATCATGATTGACATGAGTACTCCTCCTCCCTTTGCTGCCTTTCCCTCACAATGGGTGAAACACGGAGCCTTTTTTAAGAAAAGAGTAACTTAGGCTCAAGAGAAGGAAATGAATAACACAGCGGTCTTAAACATCACAAACTAATAATGGCTGTTTTTCGCAGTCAATCGACTTCTGATTAGTTGTAGTCTCGATCTGTCGAAAGTTGCTCGACCTACAGCTGCAGTCACAGTTTATGACTGCTAGGAATAACAGTAGGATGCACTTACCCTTTTTTTTTGCAAGTCGCTTTCCGAATGTGAGTATATCTGTGGTATCACGATCACTGTGCTGAAAATTTCCCAAAACAATGATAACAGAGGACGCCATCTTGAATTTTATTGGGAACTGGTTTTAGTGCTTCCCAGTTTACCCCAGTCTCAATTTAAGTTCCGGTTCCGGTTCCGTTTCAGTTTCCGGGTCCGGATTCCAGATTCCGGCTTTTCCATACGCCCAATAATAAACGTTCCAAAGTCAATTCGATCCATCTTAAATCGTTTGAAAACAAACAAGAGACGATTTCAACCAGCCACGAGCATTGATCGACAGTTTTGAAAGATATAGCACAACAAGTAAAAGCTAAGCCGTTCTGAAGGTACAGTAGGGAACTTAAGATGGAAACGTTTTCGGGGCGACGGCGACCGGACTGGCAGAGAAAGCCTGGAACTAAGGCAGCCGTCGCTCCCCGTCAAAAATAGAACATTAAGATCGCAGTGAACTCAGAAGGACGGCGCCTTTAATTAGAAGAATACCGAAGAGGAAAATATGGCTTCACATAAAGAATTAAGAGAATAAATATTTGCTATGCAGACAACATGTATCGGATGAAGAGTTTCTCGTTTTGTGGAAAAATTATGAGTCCAAAAATCCCGATTTTCCTCGGGACAGTTACGATCCGTTCACGCTAAAAAACATGCGGGATGCAGCTGAGTTCAAGGCAGAATTTCGTGTTGAAAAAAAATGATCTCCACAGGCTTGCCGAAGCCTTGCAAATTACAGGAACATTAAAATGCTACCAAGGAACCGTATTCTTAGTTTGGCATTGAAATAATTCCCGGGAAATACTTGCATGCAACAACAACAACAACGGCAACAACTTTATTTCAGTATTCCCACGCCGAGTTAGTACATGGTATTACCTACTATTCTATATAATTTTCAATGCGTTTCATTTATACGATGTTCTAACGAAAAGAACGAACTAAAAACACACAATTGAAATATCGGAGTTCATATTTTTTGTCTGGATACCTTTATTTGGCTCGTGGGAAAATTTTGTCCCATGTCAAGCTCACTTACGGTTGGCTGTTTGCCAAGTTGGATCTTGACCCTGTGAAATGAAAACATAGTAACATTCAAAGATGTAAGTTTAGCGAACATAGCTTGGAAATCGAGCTTGAAATGTGCCTCAAAGAAAACAAGGACAATTTACGAACGATAATCTGCAAAATGTTGGTTGCTAAACGCAACAAACCTGATTGAAATGACAGTTAAATACTCACGTTTTCGCCACAACGCCAAACAGACCAGTTTCACGTCGCCGACGGGACCAGGACGGCAAGGTGGTGAGCACGAGCATGCGCAATATCCAACAAATGATGATGTCACGTCCGGTTGAAGTTGCCGTCGCCCCGAAAACGTCTCTATCTTAAGTTCCCTAGTATTTCGAAGCGCTTGTAACCTAAATATTTCTTTGCAGCGCCCGATTTATGCAAATTTTGAAAACAACGCGAGTTTCGAATTACAATCTCGATTTTATGGTAATTTTTCATGCCAAAAATATAATGGACTACCTGATTTAAAGCAATGAAATCGTAAGTTCTTTTATAAATAAATTTCCCACGACGAGAACTCAATTCAACTTCTTTTATTTCCTCCACAACACAATTTTCCTTCTGTACACCTAGCTCATTACCTTCTCTTGTCGTCACCTCGCTGCCATCAAAACACTCTAACACAAAACTTGCTGATAATGCAAAATCCCGACGCACAGCATCGTATGAAAAAACACAACACGCAATACAAAAACAAGTACATTAACCGTCACCCTGCTAAACAAAATTGAAGAAGAATTGTTGCAGTTATCACAGTAGTTCCAAAAGAAGCCTCAGACCCTTTTGGTTTCAATTGTTGACAATCGTCTCTTCCTTCATCGGAACAGATTTTTATCACAGGCAACTCACTGTGTTCCGCAATGCAAAACCAAAATCACTATTGTCACACTGATAACCAGCTACACAAATCTTGCGACTCTCAAACTTGTTCAACATTCCTCTATTCCAACTCTTATCCATTTTACACGTACACTCCTGATATTCCGATTTGCTATTACGTCTATGGGGTCCATGAGTCTTTGATGTCATTGAATGTCTTGATAATTTCCTTTGTCTTTCTTTGAGTTCGCGGACCAGCCCATTCCCAAAACACTCAGTGTTATTTTTTAGTGCGGGCCTACCGCGAACAGTGTGTGCATTTGTAAGTTTAACCCGGAATAACATGATTGAACAATATATTAACACGTTCCTCGAAACGCCGCGGCCAAATGTTATCCAAACTGCTTCTCACTGCTGCTTCGAAAAATTTCCGATCAAACGATATCCAAATCGTCCCTCATTGGATTATCCACTCGACCTAACAAAATCGACCAATCACAAAAAATGGACATAAAATAAAGAAAAGAGCAAATTCAGATGACCTCTTAGGAAACATGCAATTGAAACTGTCTTTCGATGATTGGTGCATTTCGATCCTCTCGTCAAAAAAATGTCAGACGTCAATCATCTTAGCGGACCTCTTAGGAAACGAAAGTTTTCTTCAACGGGTTCAAAAGGTCATTGTTTATGGTTTGTGATTGGTGGATTTCGATCCGTTTTTTGAGTTTCTGTGTTTCAAGGTTCGTTGCTTGTGATATTTGACCAAAACCCGACGTTAATATTCCAAATACTTTTGATAGATTTCATCCCTGGACTTCAGACTTCCAAATTTCGATGAGGCAAAAATACTGAAGATTCAGATTAAATTTTGAGATCGTAAAAGTGCGATTAAGTGCCGTGTGCAAGCAGAGCTTTCTTTCCCACATGCCTCTTACCTTGTACAAGAAGTTCGCATGACAGACATTCGCCTCGCTTCGCTTGTTTACTTGCCTTGTTTACGTTAGCACGTATTGCGTGCCTATTGCACATTTGCGTCAAAACAAGCCGTTTCCATTACTCTATTTGGGCCACGCCCAAATAACAAGCTTTATTTGTTAAATCGGCTATCCCATGGCGGGTATTAGAGGCGTCACGTGACTAAGTATTGTATTATTCACTGCTTTTATCTGTATGGTGAAAAGCTACGGTTCAAATTGTTACATTTTAGTTAAAACCTGGAACGAGTTACAGCCTGAGCACTAGAGACAAGCTGAAAAAAAGAATAATACAACGCTATTAATTTTGTCATTCACAACTAAGTACTAAGTTCTCAAGTTCCAAAGGGAATGATGACTCGTTATTGCCATTATATCAACCATATAAACTAGTCAGCCGTCACAGAGCCCGTTTAAAATATTACACAAGCGATAAAGTAGCGCTGACTATGATCACGCGAGGCGTGTGAGTTTCTCTGGGTTAAGCTACAGTTAAGGAGCATACCTTTGAAAACTTTTCATACGATTCATCTCCAGGCTTGGGAGGATTGCAAGTGAGTCCCATGATTACCTTGGGTTAGAAACCAAGCGTAATGAATACAGCTTGAGTACCTTACAATAAAGCACTAACAGCTTCCTCTGCAGGCGCTCCGAGACTCGCGCGACACAAGGTGAATGACTGGAAATAAGAGAAGCGCGAAGCTTTATGGGAGGAGTAAGAAAGGAGAACAAAGGCATCTTTCACCATCCCGCCGTTCTTAGCGCGTAGTGTGAGAGACGCCAAAGTGCGATGAAGTTACATCTGAACTATTGCAATTTTTTGCTTAACTGCCTAATACCCTGACCACCATAGAACAAAACAAGACAACAACAGGAACAAACAACACAAAGCCAATATAACGAAAAGAGAAACACAAGCAGCCAGGCTTGTCTAGGACTTGGGAGATGTTAATAAATCATCGTAGAAGTACTAAAATACTTTCGATCTAACGAAAAGGTAACTAAGGTCCTTCCAAGTATTCAACCTGGAAATTTTGGACTAGGGTTTGAGGCAGCCCTTTCATTAGGGACCTCTGTCCCATTTCACTTCATGTGATACATTAATTGTACCTGTCCTATCGTGGAAGGGCAACTTCTTGCACTCAGTTACGTTTCAACTCGAGACCTGAGTTGATCATTGAATCCTCCACCCCTTCAATAACTTGAATAATTTCGCAGGAATTTTCTGTCTCAAACTCTTTCCTCTTTCGGTTGGAAGTATTCCTCCACTTGTTCAGGATTTTGGATCTGATGCTGTTTGGCCTGTCCAAACTTTTCTTAAGATTCTGAAATCCGGAATGAAGCTCTCCACTTCCTTTGTTTTTGCCTTCTTTCCTTTTTTCAACCAAAGTGGAAATTTAGAACGACGATCAGTCTTCGGAACATCTACGTCATCGTTTCGCTCGCAAGTACCAGTACACTGTTCGCCATGAAGATCGTAAGGCGACCTTTCCTTTGATGACTTGTCTTCTTGATTGAAGTCTTGTTCACGAAGGTCATCGTTGGCAGTAGGCCCCTCCGTACAGGACTCTGTTGTCTCTCCCTCAGATTTTCCAAGTATCCTTTTCCAACTGAAAGACACCTTTGACAATAAACTGAATGGAAATTTGGAATTTTCCATTGCATCATAGTCCCAGAACTCGGCTTCACATTGCTGTCATTACCATGCCACTCCAAGGAACCTGGTTTTTCGCTCTCATTTTCTTTCAACGTCAGGGAATAACAACCGTCATCTTTAGTTTGTCTGGGATCCTGAATTTTCTTCTTTTCGTTTTGAGTAAAGGGTGACCTTTGCTGGAAACGTTTTCCATCATGTTCATCGCGGCAGGAAGACTTTGAGAAATCGCTCTTTAGTTTTGAAGCCTTTGAGGATCGTGAAGTAAACACAAACGGTGAGCGAGATTTCTTTGCACTTTTCTCATCGCATTCTTCCCATGCGATCTTCTCAGCCGGGGAAATCTTGTTTTTTCTAAAACTCTTTTTCTTTCTTGAACTTGACTTTTTCTCTACAGGAAAACCCTGACCTATGCCTTTCCTCGCACCGCATTCACGCGCAGTCGTTGATGATGATGATGAAACTTTATTAAGGTGTCTAAAGAAGCCTCCTAGCTTAGGTTAAAAACCTGTGCTAATTAGGGGACACAAAATAAATAAATATAAATGAAAGTAAAAAAAATATTTACATATAAGCGTAGGTATAAAAAATATATATATTAATGACATTAACAATATTTACAGTATGACAAATATGTCTATGAATTGCAGAGATGACAACACTTGCATCCATTATCCATTAGTGTAACTATATCTAATGTACGTATTTTGTTTTTGAAACATTTTAAGGTGGTAACTTCTCTCAAGTATGGGGATGATTTTCCCCAGAGATTGGGCCCCAAGTGGCGAAGGGAGTGCTTGCCATATGTTACCGTGTTGTACCTGGCAGCGGAGAAATCAGACTGCCTTAAGTTATACTTGGATCTATGCTTAATAAAAATGTCACTGATATAGGGGGGGAGATAGATTGTTCTTGGCTTTATACATTAAAACACAAATGTCTTGTAGTCTCCTGTTCTGTAAACTTGGCAGTTCTGCTCTTTTTAGAAGTTCAGGATAGCTAACATTGTTCCTAAAAACAGCACGCAGGCCCCTTTCTTGCATCCGCTCGATATTGCGAAAATCACTGGCTCGGCAAAAAATGAGGGAAAAGCCCTGGGGACGAGGTTGCCAAGGTAATAATATATTGGCGAATTAATAATTTCTTCTGGAACTCTTCTGTTAATGTAAATTCCTTCCTTTCCTCATCCCGATGAGCACCAGCATGGCGTCTCCATACAAAGCGCTATAAATTTGGGTAAATAATATCTTCGGACATCTCGTATACGAATTATTCCTTCGACCCAAATCTTGGCGAGGGTCTTTGTATATTTACCCATTTCCCAGATTCTGGACTTTATCTGTCGAATGGTTTTGATTTTTATTTTGATCTATTTTGAAGGACTCGCGAAACCCTTGGGGCGAGGGGGCGGTTTCACGCATAGAAAATCAGAGCAACTTAAAAAATATTTATCATGGAGTGTTTAGTTCTAGAATAGAATTGTTATAAAAGCCGCAAAATTAAAGGCAAATGGGTTCCAAGTTATGTTTGGAGCTCCTGGCCATGCTCAATATTTTTTTTTTCGTACGCACAATGTGCCTTAAAAAACTTGCACCGTTCTGTCAAGGCAGAAATGGCTAACATCTACATACCAATCTCGTTCTCAGGGTCTTTTCTTTTTGCCGCCCCCGTATTAGAAGACACTGGGGACGAGGGTTGTACTACATAAAGTGGAACCTGTATTTAGGGGACATCCCCTGGACCAAGGCAAGAGTTCCCTGAATAGAGCTGTCCCTAGGAATCAGCTGCAGTCGATTATTTCAAGCAGCTAGAAAATGCATGAAATTGTATGTTGAATTTCCACAGGTGCAGTACATCGATTTAAGTGGGATAGCTCATGTTGTGTGAGCTGTCGTCATTGTGACTAGTGCAGTGACTTTTTGAGTGCAGTTTAGTTCAAGTCAGTTTGTTCACACTTGTATATAATATTTAGACTATATATAATAACTTAGTGACGTAGTAATGAAATAACAAATAAGAGAAAAGAACAAAAGAGAGAAATTAATGGCTTTGATGGAAGTGTGCGGTGGTCAAAGGAGCTTAACTTTCCAGCTAACCACCGCTGTAATGTGAATAGAAATACTTAATATGTGCATTAGGTGCCATGGCAAATATGGACGATGATGTGAAACAGTCATTTATACGTGGTTAACTTTGAGAGTTAAGCAGAATTGGTTTGTACTGTTTGTTAGCCTGGTAGTAGCTGAGTGTTTTTACGTTAGTAGGAATCTCTTCACAGATTTTGTCGGTTCAGAGGAATATCTTGTGTACGAGATATCCTAAGAAATGTTTTACCCGAATTTATAGAGATTTGTATGGAGACGCCATGCTGGTGCCTACCTGGATGAGCACCAACATGGCGGACGGAAACCAACAGAAAAACACCTGTCAGCGAGTTTTGCTAAAAAAGCGAGAATTTATCCCTCGAGGAACTCATAAACATTTAGATAATACTTTTTCTAATACACTAACCGTTTAAAATAGCAAAATTCTCCGAAATAAGTCACTTTCTAAACCTACCTTACAGTTCTCTTGGCGTCACGTAAAAGCCGCGTCACGCAAAAGTTTAGAAATTCAAGCGTGCTCTAACACAAAACCAAGAACCTTTTTGAAGCGAAAATTTGTATGAACATTAGTTTTCAGCCGCTCTAATACATCTTGAAAGTAAAATCTCAGTAGGATCCACAGTTTTGTAGTTTGAATTTTAGTGCCGTCATGTGAAAACCAACAATAACGACCGTTTCAGTAAGTCACGTGACAGGTCATGTGACCTTTTTTTCTGACAAACATTAATTATTGACGAAATGATGACGGGTTTAAGAAAAAAATATCAGGTATAAAACATTTTTTTTGATTCATATTAAGTATTTCTAACACAAACACTTTTGGCTCAATAAAGGCTAAAATTTTGCCTTCAAAGCTTTAATTGTAAATTACGAACTTCTCGTACGTTCACTACTCCAAACTTCAATATCCATACAAAGCAAATTCGCCACTTTTATTGCTTATTGTCAGAAAAGACCAAAATGTTTATAAAACAGCTACCAAGAGCGCCTTGATACATATTAAGCAAATCCTTCTTTCTAGCAATCGGATAAAGCTAATATCTCCATGATCTTTCACGCACGTTTTTAAAAAGATTGAAACTACTATGAGGCGAATTTGCATTTCAAAAGCGCTTCATTTTCTACAGATAACGGTTGAACATCAAGATTGTCCAGTTTTTACGTACCGTATTTCTATCCACCAAAACCTCATCCCAAAACATCTTGATAACGCTCTTACAGATTTTGCATTAACTTCGCGAACATTGGAGGAAAAAGCTCCCGCAAACAATTTTGGAAGAAGAGTTGCCAGTGCCGAGAAATACGGCTGCTGAAAGAACTGAAAACAATTACACGATAACTTGAGGAAAGCATAGAGAATAACACGTGACCATCAATCAGTTTATTACATCAAGGAAAACCTCCTGTATATACATCGTTAAAGATTGTTCGAGACTGACGTCATTTTTTTCAACGAAAACTGTCGTTTTCGATTCACAAGCTGTACGGCCTGAACCGTGAAATTACGTTCAAAAATGTCTAAGCGCTCTGTTTTAGCGTCAACTTTCCAATATCGAAGGGAGTGAGGAAAGATCAAAATAAGCAAAAAATGCATTAACATCCAATGCATATAAAAGGTCTAGCGTGTTCATTGTATTACTTGGTGTAATAACTTAATTTTCCCTGTTTGAGTCTTTTCTCTCTAATCTTTTACTATTCCGACTAAGCAACTTTCGGCTCCACTTTTTCCCGCCAATTTTTGATCTCACACTGTTCGACTGTTCCACAGTTTTCTTAAGGTTCTCAAAACCAGGGTAAACTTGCTGTATGACAGTTTTCGGCGACTTGTTAACTTCATCTTTTCCAACTGGGTTTTTCAATTGGACTCCAGATTCCTCTTTTTCCGACCTTTTTGTTTTCGTTCTTTCCCGAAGATGTCTCCAATGTCTCTCTATTTTTGATTTAACACTGTTTGGGTGGTCCAAATCTTTCTTTAGATTCTGAAATCCAGGATAAAGCCGCTCCACACCTGATTTCTGGGTTTTCTTCCTAAATGCCATTTCACTTAGAGGCCTAACGCGAGGCTGTTCTCCAGAAACAGCAGATAAGTCATGCGTTGTTTCAAAATCATCAACCATCAATTGATGTTCCGCTACACCTATTTCCTGTAACTCTTTGTCCATTCTTTCCAGTACCTTTCCCACATTCTGAACAATTCTTGACCTGACACTATTTTGGCTTTGTAGAGTTTTTCTTAGTTTCTGAAAGCCAGGATGAAGCCGTTCAATCGCAGGTTTGTTTGCCTTCCTTCCTCTCTTCCGTCCAAACGCCAATTTATGCCAACTGCCAGACGTGATACCTGCATGTTGAGCCTTTTGGTCTCTGGAGATCGAAGACTGTGGTGGTTCGTGGGAATCAACACTCTCCAGGGTTGTCTTTTTCTCGGTGGTAACTGAGGAAGATTCTCTCACACTGGCAGCTACCCCTTCAATAACTTGATTAATTTCGCAGGAATTTTCTGTCTCAAACTCTTTCCTCTTTCGGTTGGAAATATTCCTCCACTTGTTCAGGATTTTGGATCTGATGCTGTTTGGCTTATCCAAACTTTTCTTAAGATTCTGAAATCCGGGATGAAGCTCTCCAATTCCTTTGTTTTTTGCCTTCTTTCCTTTTTTCGACCAAAGTGGAAATCTAGACCGACGATCAGTCTTCGGAACATCTACGTCATCGTTTCGGTTGTAAGTACCAGTACACTGTTCGCCATGAAGATCGTGAGGGGGCCTTTCCTTTGATGACTTGCCTCTTTGGTTGAAGTCTTGTTCACGAAGGTCGTCATTGGCAGTAGGCCCCTCCCTACAGCACTCTGTTGTCTCTCCCTCAGATTTTCCAAACATGCTTTTCCAACTGAAAGACACCTTTGACAATAAACTCAACGGAAATTTGGAATTTTCCATTGTATCATCTACAGTCCCAGAACTCGGCTTCACATTGCTTTCATTACCATGCCACTCCAAGGAACCTGGTTTTTCGCTCTCCTTTTCATTCAACGTCAGGGAATGACAACCGTCATCTACAGTTTGTCTGGGATCTTGAATTTTCTCCTTTTCGATCTGAGGAAAGGGTGACCTTTGCTTGAAACGTTTTCCATCATGTTCATCGCGGCAAGAAGACTTTGAGAAATCGCTCTGTAGTTTTGAAGCCTTTGAGGATCGTGAAGTAAACACAAACGGTGTGTGAGATTTCTTGGCACTTTTCTCATCGCATTCTTCCCATGCGATCTTCTCAGCCGGGGAAATCTTGTTTTTTCTTAAGCTCTTTTTCTTTCTTGAACTTGACTTTTTCTCGACAGGAAAACCCTGGCCTCTGCCTTTCCTCGCGCCGCATTCACGAACAGTCGTTGATTGATCTTCGCCCTCCTGGTAGCCGCAAATGTCGAAAAACGTTTCTTCATCCGCGACGGAAATTTTTCGTTTAAGTTCAAAAACTTTGTCTTTTTCTGTTTGAAATATGACACATCTCAAAAACTGAAGTATTAACTGTCCAAACGAGGTCACCCTGCGCAAAAGGGCAGCCATACTTCGGATTTTTACCTCGGATTTAGTTTATGACGTAACAAATGAACAGGATGACGTGCTAATTATAAGCGCGCAAATTGCATGTAAAATTTTAAAGAAAACTAACTACGAGTAATGGCAGATTAAAAGAGTGTGTCCGATCTGCTTGTTAATTGCCGGAATTGAAGGGAAAGTGCAGCATTTCTGGCTTATAGGTGCGGATGTTTGTGAGTATGCAATAATTTGAAACTTTAGGCGCGCGCACCAAGATTTGAGATGACAGACTTGCCTGTTCAAATTTCAATTTTGAATTACGTTACATTAAAAGCGCGCACTTTGCATGGAAATTGAAATCACAACATTAACAATAAAAATGGAAATTTTACCGGAATTTTCTTCTGTTATTTCTTCGATCATATACCATGTATACTTTTTCCCCCGCTTCCCACCCTCTTAGAATTCTACCTCCCGCATTTTCTCTCCTGCCTCCCCTACCCCTTCCGCCTCCTATTCTCCCGGGTTCCCACCCTGTTGCCCTGCCCATTGTGTTAGATAAGATGGCTGTCTTTTGGAGTCCGTGACGTCATCTAATCACACAAGGTGCCCCAAGGTAATAATATAATGGCGAGTTAATAATTTCTTCTGCAATTCTTCTGTTACTGTAAATTTCTTACTTCCGAAAACAGCGTTAAAGGAAATTCCTGATTACTTGATCGTTATTGAATGCGGCAATACCGACGTGTTGGTAGTAGAAGCGCGGGCTCACTTTCCGAACAGCGGCTGGGAGTCATGCCTCAACCAGTATATGTAAAAGTACATGAAATGTCTCTGCACTAACAATGGGAGGGACGGAAGCACTATTTCGATATAATTCTGTACAGTTAAAATCGAAAATTTACATGGTGATTTAACTGATTGGCAGCTGCAAAAGAGCGCTGTTTCCAAAGACGAAGCTAAAGAACGAACAGACTTGTTTCCAGCACCATGCAGGCTCCCTATCCGTCGTATCCGCCTCCGTCCACTCCGTCGTTGTCACAGTGCGTCACACGAGTTGAGCTGAACATTTCTTGCAGAAATTTGAGAGATAAAGATGTTATGTCCAAATCGGATCCAATGGCGGTTGTTATGATTTTGAAGGATGGCAACTGGTTGGAGGTAACGATGAATGCTCAGTATTATTTGATCATTTTGTGAAACCTATCAAGCTTAAGCTTCAATTTTAATAAATGAGTAGTCGTCCTTTCCCCTAAATCACCTGCGATCTAGCGCGTTTTAGAAGATGTATGCATACCGAGAACGGATGTTTTATGAGTCAATTGAGTCAATGAGTCATGCGTCATGAGTCATGAGTCAATGAGTCAATGAGTCAGATCTGAAAAAATAAAAGTTTCGGTAGAAACAATAAAATTAAGCATTACTTTTACTTAATTTGTCTACTTGCTTCATTGCTGCTTGCACATGCAAGGCCTATTTCTGACATGAAATCTCAACCTGGGCTGTTTGTTAGCAGTATCCCAGTTCCTGCCGCTACTACTACGTGCATGCCCTGAAAAATGGCTTTCCTAAACACCCTTCAAACTAGAGTTTCCATACTAGAAGTGAAGTGCTGCCCCAAGGTTGTTCATATTAGTTGATGCATGTGTTTTCAACAGGCGAGCTAATGCAAATAAACACAAACATAATGCAAACAATGAATGCCCAAAGATTTTAATCAATCAACGAGCCTTGAAAGCTATTTGAAATTACAATGGGTATACAGTAATACCTCAACAATAATTATCCGTACACTGTATGTTTCTAATATAAACACTGACTTTGTACAACTGTTTGACTTGCTGTTTCATACCTGTCCTCGGGCAAATTACAATTCAGTTTGTTTGCCTCGTAGCATCATTCACCTTTTGAGGCAAGTAAAACCACAGGCGGCCCACACAATCTGTTTGTCTAGCCGATTGTTATTTTATAGTAAATGTACTGGATTTACCGTTTGCTTCACCTGTAGTGATATATCGCTAACTATGTATATAAATCAATGATAAATAAACGTTGAATTACCTTACCCGTCGTATATAGTCGTCCTTTTACCTCAAAAGCGGTTTTTTGAGCGATTTAGAAGGAGTTTGAGTTCGCCGTTGACTGTTACACATATAAGAAACAGTCAACGGCGAACTCAAACTCCTTCAAAATCTCTCAAAAAACCGCTTTTGAGGTAAAAGGACGACTACATACCACAGGTAAGGTAATTCAACATTTATTTATCATTGATTCATATACATAGTTAGCGATATATCGCTATAGGTAAAGCAAACGGTAAATCCAGTACATTTACTATAAAATAACAATCGGCTACACAAACAGATTGTGTGAGCACCCTGTGGTAAAACTGATTGGAAAATGTGGTGAACTACAATAGGAAGATTATCAACTGAAAACAACTCTGCTATTGATTGTTGGAACAGACACTTAGTGTCCTGGATCGTCTTCATTGTGTTGATGCGTGATCGACAGCGATCCAGAGCGTGAAAGAAAATTGTATTCCCCTTGATAAGATTCCTGGCTAAAACCTAATGAATACTTCCCGGAATACGTACCTTTACACCAGCATGACAAGCTAATGAGCAACATACCGATACAGATATAAAAGTGGAACTTTCCATCATACTCATGACCGATTTTCTACTTCAAACTGGGCCCAAACATCAACACACCGAATATCAAAGAACGACTGTTCCCAGATTTGAGTTCTTTGAGTGCTAAGAAATTCCATAATAGGTTTATCTCAATTTACTTAAAGCACTGTGTTCAAAGGGAATTAAACACTTTCTTCCGAAGCACTCACAAAATTTAGGCTGGCTTATTTTTTGCTTCTGCTATGCGGCAGGACCTGGGAACTGCTAAGTCGCGATCGAGATTTCATGTCAGAAATAGGCCTTGTGCAGGCAGCAATGAAGGAAGTAGACAAAATAAGTAAAACTAAAGCTTAATTTTATTGTTTCTACCGAAACTTTTATTTTTTCAGATCTGAGTCATTGACTCATGACTCGTGACTCATTATGCGTTGAATCATTTGACTCATTAATACTTTACACTCACCAAACAGAACAGAATTGTATTACATGTATTGTTTCTGTGCCAATCAGAAAAATGTCAATTTTTTTACCTTTTCAAGATCTGACACATCAATGTATCATGGCCAGCTCTTCCCACAAGAGAAGGATATGATCTCAGGTCACCTATTTTCTTTATTCTGATTTCCAGGTTGGCCGAACTGAAAGACTGGATAACACACTAAATCCACGGTTTTCTAAAGCTGTTCTAGTAGACTACTTTTTTGAAGAGCTTCAGAAGCTGAAGTTTTTCATCTATGATATTGATAGCCCCACTGGAAACTTGAAAACGGCAGATTTCTTGGGGGAGTTAGAGTGCACATTGGGTCAGGTGAGGTATATGCTGAATTTACTAGCTTACTACACAGACATTCTTTTGGCTCATCAGGGATTCTTTCTGTGTGTGACAAACCCCTTGGAATGTCTGTGTGAGAAGCTATAAGATGAGTGATTTTTCACAAACAAGAACTCATTTAAAAAAGCGTGAGGTCTGGCTTGCTTGGAGAGGCGATTAATTCTACACGAAACAGGATTTCCTTGCTAAAAGTTTTTTACTTCCTACTTTATCGACGGTCGAGTATTCTTTAGGACATTTTTTTGTCTTTTTATATTGTATTCAACAATGATTGAGAACGCATGTATAAATGCACAAAAATCAATTCAAGAGAAATTACATCTTTGCTAGAGACCAAAAACACAGTCAATGAGCAAGGCGCACGTCATTTCAATCATCACTAACAATAAACTGCATGCTTATCACAAGACTCATTTGCACACAATGAAAGTGTACAACACCTGACCAGTTTATAGCCTCACCATCAAAGTTTTCACAGAAGTATTCACTTTCTCCAAAGTAATCAACGCTTTCAAGCAATAGAATTCACAGACCGACTCATTCACATCAATCTTTCCCAAGCTTTCTTCACAAAATTAAGTATGGCGCTGTGACACGTTGCGATTCTTATCCCCAGTTTCCATGGTCTCTGCTTGGAATGCCAGGGCTGGTGGGACACTATGATCGACTTCCCTTTTGGCACGAACACATGAAAAAAAAGAGCAAGCGAGACTAATTAAAGCTACCGTTGTGTGAGATTTGAGCCTCAGAAGGTGTCTTGCTTTATAGCTGAGAGTTTTGGGGGGAAAAAGATAACTTTTTCAGTGTATTGAAACTTGTCATAACTTAATAGGCATGCATGTGTTTGCTTATTATAACCTGAGCTGAATTAAGGAAACACAGTACAGAGTCATCAGTCGTCAGGGTGCAAAGAAAATCATTTTTACAGCTTGCCATTCGGGCAAGCTGAAGCTATTTTACTAGCCCAGAGGTCATTTCCACTAGCCCCAAAAGCTTTTTGAAGAGCAGAATTGATCTGATAGTTCTTCTGTTATTCGAATTCCTCAAAAAAGACCACTTGCCCGTCGGGCAAGTTAAAAACAGAATTCGCTAGCCCGATAGCAAAATCCACTAGCCCTAGGCTATCGGACACCAGGGCTGCAAATAACAGCCGGTCAACGGACAATGTCCGGCCTGATCGCGGACTTGACCGGTCAAACTCCGCTCTTGCCGGTCATTTTGACCGGTCATTTTTGGATACAAACACTTTATTTTCCATACAGTTGTCGCTTAATGCTCTATAACGCTGCAATGATTTCTTTTTTCTTTGGCATTTTTTGCTGCTTTGCACTAAACCCTTCTAAGAAAAAGAACGCCACAATAAATTAATTTCATGTCGTCATGTCGTAACCTAACGCAACAAAGTGAATAACAAACTGAGTTGGAAAGTAACGCAACGTTGCAAGTCGTACTGTACTTTCGGCTTTGCTGTAATCAGCAATGTAACCTTCTTTGGGAATTCAAACTCAAAGGAATTCAGGCAAATCGATCGCAATTCTCAACAGGTCGTCCTGTGTTTCTCCGGGAATAAATGTTAGCGCATCGATTAATAATAATTTCTTTTATGTCGAACATGAATCTCGTTTGCAGACTAGATTCCGGAATGGTGTGATAAAAATTTAAGCTAGTCAAGAGGGAAGGTCGTTGTCTATCGCGGCGCTAGATTCTGGTTCTTGTAAACAACTTTATGCAAATTTCTGTTGACATTTGAGCCCTTCGCGATAAAATGTTGCGCGATGACCCAAATTTATTTATTGACTTCTGATCATCAACACGCTGTTTGTGGAACAAACTTCTCGCCAATGCAAATCAACTTCTTTGCCGAAAATATCAGCGACGATTCTTCTTTGAGGAAGTGACTTTCGATCACGTGCCAGGCAAGGAAAAAGATCAAGTTTCACTGATGTTCATTTCAGAACATCAATGTAAAACAAGCGTGTGCAGATTTTATAAAATAACCCAATTTTTTTTTTTTTTTTTTGGTAATTTCTAAAATTTTGCTGAACTGTATGTGTAGTCCGTTTCTTGAACCTTGGGAGTTTGAAAAGGGTTTACGCTTCACTTTTTACCTCTAGAGACTTCAGACACCGCCGTGCAATGATACTCAAGGTAGAACGTAACATTAAAACGCGCGAAAACCACGGAAAGGAACTCTACAACGTGCAAATGCATTTTTCACCAATTTGCTGTCAAAAATGTGAACGTCAATGTAGTAATAACGATCTATTGCCAGCATAATTGGATATTCCTTAGGCCAAAAAAAATTATTAGTATTCATTATTTGACCGGCCAGAATCGGGGTTTGTCCGGGCTAAAAAATATTTGGCTGGTCATCATGACCGGCAACCTGCTGTCCGTTATTTGCAGCCCTGAGTCCCCACTTTCTTTGCACGCTGGTAGTGTACTTTTAATGACGTAGTGGTTCCCAAAGGAGCAATTTGTTTAATAATTTATTGTGTAGGGAAGAAGTTTTAGCATTCACCATCCTCTTCGCTGTGAGTGTCAAAGTGGTCTTCTACCTCCTCATGCTCTATGTCAAATTCATTTTCGCAAAGAGGATCAAAACCTTTTTCATCTGAATTATATTATATAATTTTGAACTAAAACATATATATATATGCTTGCTTGGTTTGTTATTTCAAGGCCATTTTTAAAATATATTTTCAGCTTGTATCATCTGGAACCTACACGAAACCACTTGTATTGAAAGGAACTAGTAATTCCGCGCATGCTGGGGCAATAACGGTAGGCTAGAGACAAACATTTTAATATTTTAACACTTGATAGAACCTACTTTGTCGAGTCTGAGCAACTCGACATTAAAACTCAATTTTAAAAGATATGTCCCCATGCCATGCATGTTTTACTGTTTTTTGGTGCAATTTGATCGTGTGGTACATGTACTTAAAAAAAAAACAATCGTTCTTTCCGGGGACCCCCTCTTGGGGTGGGTACCTATGTCCCTATGTCCCTATATGTCGCATATACCTATGTCCCTATGTACTTATGTCCCCAGTCTGGATTTCAAAACCTGTCGTTTTGTCAATAATTGATGATGAGGAGACCATGCCCCTGTTGGTATTTCACTATTGTGTTTGGGATTGTCCTCATCGCTGTCGCAATTTCAGTACCATCTTCATGTCATTTGTCGCCAATTCATCCATCTTATCAGGGTAAGACTGAAAATGAAAAAAATCAGCTTGCCCTGTGGGAAAGCTGCTACTTTAGTCTACTAGCCCGGAGTTCTGAGGAGCTTAACCCAAAAGTAAATTGATCGTTGAAAAATACTAAAATTTAATTATTATGCAAAATAACACAGTAATTAATAATACTGAACATAGAAAAACTAATTTTTGTTATATTTAAGGAATAGGAATATTGATTATTGACTTTAATTTTGTTTGAAACTCAACCTAATGAAATACAACAAAAGTCAAATAGACTAGTGAATTTGTTAAAAGCTAAATTAATATTGTTCAGTAAGCAAAGATTTTCTCCGCTGTGATTCATTCTTCCTGAACATTTTCAATAATTAGTAATGGTAACAGGGGTGACTATAAGGAGTGCAATAATATTGAGGGAGTAATCGGGCGAGTAATTTTAGTTACGAGCACATGTATTTGTCCAGCATTTTGATGCAATTTATATTATTTTTGTTCAATATTGCGGGTTTTAGAAAGACATTATTTGTTTACTTTAAGTGACGCATTATTGTGCGCTAATTTTACTCAGAAAAATTCTTAGCTGCATAGCTATTTTGGGAAGACAAACATAATAATTATTATAATTATTGTAATATATTTACTTAAAGCTTTCTTTCCTTACAACCACCCTCCCCCTTCCATTTTTGCTGCTTCCTTCTTGCCTGTCTCTTACACTCTTTCTGCTTGGCTAAAAGGAAATTCATAGAAATGATTGTTACGTAGGGTAGCACTTTTTGACCCTTTATCACTCGTGATATGATTGCACACATTTTGATCTTCTATCGCCCGAAACTTTAGTACACATAGCACACAGCATTGGGTACACTGTATCTATACCTGAAGTTTATTTTGTATTCATAGTCTAGGCAAAAAGAGAATTTGATGGCAATTTTCTTGTCAGGTGGTTGCAGAGGAAGTTGCTGGGGGAAGTGATGAAGTATATTTGCAGTTCAGGGCTGAAAAATTAGACAAGAAGGTCAGTTTAAGAATTAATTATTTTAAATATGCTGTACATCAAGCAATACTTGCCTTATAGGGGCTTTGTAATGTCATAAAAATTATGTTCATAGGAAAGTATGTATGCTAGGTTTGCACTCTTAGTATTTGCCACACAGCTGTAGTTGTCAACATTTATAACAATTTTGAGATGTTAATTTTAACACGAACATTGTTGTTTACTTCTTATGCTATGGTTGTGTCCCAGTATCATTCCTAGCAGGGGCGGCAGCGCATTTTGAAATGTGGGGGGCTCATCTTCCACTCAGCCTTGCCCATACCCCTCCTTAAATTTTCCAAAAATCCCTTGGTGTTTTTAGTTGGCACAAGGAAACCTCTTTCCAATCCTCACAGTGTCTAGTGTGCCAGTAATCACTTTGTGACAATGCATCATGATCAGTACGCAGTTGTTCAAGCTTGTTCAGGCAGTCCTGCACTTCATGGTGCTTCTTGGGTAGGTCTTGAGTCGTCTGAGGGCAGAAAATGTGCTCTCTGAAGTCACCAATGTGACAGGTACAGCTGTAATGTCGAATACATCGGTAAAGGTGTTTTTCAGCACCAAAACATGGGCAGGCCCCCTGCTCCATTGCCTATGCTTAGAGCTTTTTTATTCCCTTCATATAGGATATAGGAGATGCACAGTTACCATCCATTTTCTGAAAGAACACGCCTGGGAATGAAGACTTGGTCATTTCCTGCATATATGAAAATGATTTAACTCTTGGTTTGGCAAAGATGTGCTTGTTACTGATAATTCCTCATCATTTGTAACTTGTCAATCATTTCATGTATCTCCATACAGGATTTTCTTGGAAAGAGTGACCCTTTCTTAGAACTTGCAAGATCAAAAGAAGATGGAACTTTTGTTGTGGTGCATAGAACAGAGGTTATTAATATCTTGTTATGTTATTTGGTGCTTAAACAGCTGCATAAAGAGAATATCATAAATTATGTGACTTGAGAAGTGTGTTAACATGGTGTTAGTGCAGGAGTGCTCAGTTTGCCGCAATCATTCACGGGTCCACACATAATTATCAGCAAATTGGAAGGTGAATCTAGTGGTTTATCAGAAGCAGAAGCATTTGCTTCTGTCAGAAGTCACTTGGGGCTTCATTCTGATACCCCTTTGCTTGTGGAAGGCAGATGAAGTGGAAAAATGAGACAAAACAGAGAAAATAGCGAGAACATTTCATCTCCCTCATCCCTATTTCAACAAAAGTCAAGGGGAGTGGGAGAACGGGCAACTGCATGTGATTGTTAGTCAAAGAATGTCAGCAGGGTCTCGAGACTTAACAAAAATTTTCAGTTGCAAGATGGCATGAAGTGGTCACCAGAAATTTTGTGTCATTTCTCTAATGACATGACAATGACAATGACAATTTGTTGGACATCTTATGGTTATGTGCAATATAGGCTTACTGCTTCTTTGCTTGAAGAGGAATCAGATACTTTTTTCCAAATTAAAGTAAAGAAAGAATATTTCAAAATTTGTTGAGATGGTTATATTAGGTTACTCAAACCATGTTACAAAATTAATGTTCTTAATCACATCACTTATTCACTTCTGCAGGTTGTTGAGAACAATTTAAATCCAAGATGGAAAGCATTTCAAATCCCTGTTCAGCAGATATGTAATGGAGATTATGACAGAACCATTCAAGTAAGTATATTTTGATCAGATAATGCTGACTTTGTTAATCACAGTACTTGGTAAAGAGCCACATTTTTTTGCCATATTTAACAATTATTCTTTGAAATCGAGGTGAATAGTGGCAAAATATTTACCGAGCCGCGAAAGCAGCGAGGTAAATATTCCCAAAGCCACTATTCACCGAGATTGAGAAGAATAATTGTTTTAGTATATACACACGAAGTGATCTCAACAAAATCAGAAAGGAAACCAATCAAAAGTAGGATTTGATTGACAGATCAAATCACGCGTAAGTTTAAAAATAGATCTTTGCAGAATTTTCAAACATGGCAATTCACAAGTTTACTCATTTCGCAAACAACAGCGTAATGGCTTCAATGGAATCGCTAAAAGTTTGAACTGTTTCCTTACCTGAGAAAAAAAGTAGAGCTGTGTTGTTTTCTGTTGACTCGCCAAGTTTATAGCCAAAAGGGCATGTTGTGTCGTTCTTCGCATGAAGTGCTGACAAAAATGGCGGCTCGGTTGCGCGAGGTAAGAGGTCGTCTTCCTGTATCATTCTTTTTCCTGTTTACTTGAAATGTAGAATTTCTGCAAACATTTCCTTTTAAATTTGTTTGTCATAAATAAACTTCGATTTTTGAGCCAAAATTTTCTTCTTAGAAAACGCTGAGTTCACGAAACGGCTTCTTCTACGCGAATACACGGGAGTTGTAAACAATCCATCGAGCACAAAACTCCTGCTACAGTAAATTGAAAAACGCCGTATTGAATCCTTCCAAGTCTTTTCTTGCCTTAAAAAAAGTCAGCCCTAGGATTTTGTCGACTTTTAAAAGATCGTTCTCTAAAAAAAAACGGGAAAAACACCGAGCTCACACATTATCCACTCGCTAGGAGGTGATTATTGTTGAATAGTCCGAGATAGCGAACCAATCAGATTGCTTAAATCACCAAGATCACTGAGTGTGTATATACTAATATAGGTTATACCCAGTAGATAAAAATTAATTTTGTCCAAGGTTTATAACAAAATGACACTGTCAGCATGCAAAGAAAGTATGTGTCCGATAGTCCAGGGCTAGTGGATTTTGCTATCAGGCTAGTGAATTTTCTGTTCTCAACTTGCCCAATGGGCAAGTGAAGTTTTTTGAGGAACTCAAATTGCAGGAGAACTGTGAAATCAATTCTGGGCCTCATGAAAGTGTTTTTGAGACTAGTTGAAATGATGTTTGGGCTAGTATATGCTAGCTTCAGCTTGCCCGAATGGGAAGCTTTAAAAATGACTTTCATTGCACCCTGACTGTTAAAAAAAAAAGAAGAGATGATTGACCTACGTACTGTCCCTTAGAGAGGTGATACGTGATGTTTTGCAGCCAGGGCTGTAGCATGGGGAGGGGCTGGGTGGCCCGTGCCCCCGAGGTTTTAGTCCAGTTTTTTGCCCCAAAAAGTCAAAACATGCATGCATAAAAGTTGAAAATAGAAAATCATCTCCAAGAGCAGTGAAACAATGATGTCTCCGCAGTTAGGTGAAAAATTTTCTGGTTTTAAGATGCGGAGACCATTCCAATGGGTCCTTCAGACCCAAAACCCTCTGCTTTTCAAATACATTGAGCTACCTAAAATCTGTGTGCCCCCTAGTTTCTAAAGGCTTGCAACGGCCCTGTTGCATAACTGCATTTACTTTATTATGTTATTAAAATCATTAAACTTTTCTTTGTCAGATTTCATGTTTTGACTGGGATTCTGATGGATCACATGATTTGATTGGCTCATTTACCACAAATCTCCGAGAGATGTGTTCAGTTCAACCACCCAGAGAGGTATTCAGTTAATACTTGTAGTCATTTTAAGCTTGGATCTATATAGGTTTAATATTATCAACAACCTCAGTCAGTACAACTACTTAGTTGATTCTCTGGCGTGGTGTAGTGGTCATTGTGCTGGGAAGTAGATCCTGCAGAAATGTTGGGTTCAGTGCGTGTTGTCAACCAGCAATTGTTTTCCTTAATTAATTTTGTCATTCTCTGCTTTTAGTATTTTTCTGCTTTTAGTACTCTTATGATAATGCATTTTTAAATTTTTATCACATGTTCTTATTAATAATTTTGTAAGTACAGTTGACTCCCGATAACTCGAACCCTCACTAACTCGAACCTCGCGCTAGCTCGAACCAAAATCGATTTCCCCTGGATTTCTGTCATACATTTACTGTAATTTTACCCTCCGTAACTCGAACCCTCGATAACTCAAAACTCCCGCTAACTTGAAGTAATTTTTGTTTCCTCTCAGATCATTTCTGTATAATTTTACCCTCGATAACTCGAACCATGTTTTGAGCCCTAAAAAAGTCGGGAAAATAACAGTGTACTGCTTCCGAAGCATTGAATTTTGAATTTCCCATTGACATGTTGTAGGCATCTAGTTTACTAGTGGATCGATAGTGGAGGCTGATCTTGTTTGTCACAAATCTAACGTGAAATAGCTTTACTTCCCAAAAAGTAAAATGCATGCTCTATTTAGGCAATGTTTTGTTACTTTATGTTCTGATTTATAATTTAAAAGTATGTTTCAATTTTCACTCAACATATCTACAATTAAATGTGATTAAAATGCTCACTGTGCAGTAAAAACTGGTTTTTTTTTCCTAAAAGCCGGCTATTTTCTTCGAGCTCCCGATAACTCGAACCTTTTTCGATTTCCCTTGAAGGTTCGAGTTATTGGGAGTCAACTGTAGAGATATCGTGAAGAGATCTAATAAAGTTATCTTATCTCATCTTATCTTATCCAATTCCCTTCCACTTCACAGTTCAGAAACGTTGTCTTCTTCAGTTGAAGTATCAGGTTCCAGTTGATCAAAAGGTGGATTAGCGCTATCCACTGGATAAATGGATAACCAGAGGACAATGCAGTTGTTTTTTCTAATACTTATCCACTTGATAATGATAAATTTTATCTGGTAGATAGCACTAACCAACGTTTGAACAAAACACAGAATATGCCTTGAAGTCTCTTTAACCCCTGTGAGTGACTGGCCAACTTTAAAATTTCTCCTTATGGTTTCACTGGTCAATCAAACAAAAGGTCTTGAGGAAAAAGGAAATGATCGAGAAGTTAAAAAGGTCTTATAATAAATTATGAAAGACATAACTAAAAAGAAAAAATATTGTTAGACAAGTCCTCATTAGTGTCATAAAAAAATGTATCGGTTTCAATGTATACAGTGTATGGGTTACCACGAATATTATGATGATAATAATGTTGTAAATCCTTAATCCTCTAGTTTGACTGAGAGCCCCTTTTCTCATAAGTGTTAGTTCAAGTTCAGTAGCACTCGCAAGGCTGTGCTCTAAATAATTATATTTTAAGGAAAATTGATGGAAGCCCCCAGTGCTCTGTATCTGGAAAATCTAGAGTTCCCAGTATATGATTTGTATAAAGAACTAAGTTTTTCTAGTCACCCAAGAGCAAAAGTTGGGCACCAGGGGCCACCGGGCTGTACTAGAGCATAACCCTGACTCTGGAAAAAATGCCCGGATCGATAAGTGTACATTTCTGGGAAACTGCCCACCTATTCTACCCCTCCCCTAAGCCAACATCAACACCTGCTTCTCACTTAGGGCAAAATGTTGGCTCAGGGGAGGGGTAGGTGGGCAGTTTCCCAAAAACATATAATGATCCAAATGCCCTTAGAGGGACTAAAATAGGGGAATGTGTTTTTTTAACTATGCCTTTATTTTGTACATGAAAATAATTTTGTATTTTGTTTCTAGGTTCAGTGGCCATGTATAAATATCAAGAAACAGAAGAAGAAGAAGGGATACAAGAATTCTGGTTTAGTTTCTGTTTCAAGATGCGAGGTACAACTCCACTGGATTTTAGAGGACAGTGTTTCTTTTAAACAGTGTAGTTTTTGTATCGTGATATATGCTTTGCTATTTATAGCTTGGAAACTTTTTATTTCTAATTTTTGTAGGTTATGAAAGTTTCATCGTTTCTAGACTATATTCAAGGTGGCTGCCAACTAAATTTCACGGTGAGTTATTTTTTAGTTGTTATGATCCTTTTTTGCCGTAAGGAATTCACCTGCCACCACAGATCGTGGTGCAGTGTTCCTCGTACAAGTTCTCATGCCATACATCTTGCTATGTTATGGTTATACACTGTTCTTTCCAATTTATTGTTTACAGCCAAAGGAACTGCATCTACAATCATGGACAAAATTCCTTGGGACAATAATGCAGTATTCAATATTTTTGTGTCATTTCTGGGTTACCTCATAAAAACGTGCATCCTTTTCAAAATTTTCTTGCAGTTCTCCCTCCCCCAGCCTATAACAAAGTTGAAACTCGGAAAAAAATCCTGGATACACGCGTCCAATTTTGTTTGCCGGGTAAGGGGAGGGGTTGGGCCTTTGCAAAACAGAAAACGCCCAAGAAATGCAAAAGTGTCCCAAGACTTTTGTCCATGATTATTATGATCTTTTTTTGCTGTAAGGAATTCACCTGCCACTGCTGATCATGGTGCAATGTTCCTCGTACAATCCTTTATGCCATACATCTTGCTATGTTATAGTTATACAGTGTTCTTTCTATAATTTATTGTTTATAGCCAAAGGAACTGCATCTAGATCTACATCATTCAATAAGTTGCAAAATCCTAATCAGGACAGTAGCATAAAAATGTAACATAGAAGGAACAAAAAAAGTGGCTGCTGTACTAACTTAGGGGGAAAAAAAGACTTTGGGTTAGAACTCTCGGCTGACTTTTAACATGAGCCACTATCACATTTAGAAAAGGTCACTTCCGTCCAGCAATGCAAGAAAACTTGGAACTCTGGTGCATTTTGTACTTCATATTAGACACAATTATTTCTAATTTCCATAATTATGACTTCATGTAGACAGAATTGCTTGCATTTTGATGAGGATTAGGGCTTAAAAGAGACACTTTGAGGCATCTATCATCAAGAGCATGAATCTCATTAACTGGCAATCCTGGACAGTCATATCTTATGAACATAGTCAAGGGTTTTTTTTTTGTCCTGATGGAAGAAAAAATAGTAGCTTCTTAGGGATAACTGTAGTTTTGATGACTGATAATGTCTTCCTATGCTGTGAATACTGCGCTTATTAAATCTGGGCTGTTAAACTATTAATATTATTTTGACCTTAAATACCTTGAAATCAAAGTTCATATAGTTTGATGGTAAATAAGTGCTGTATAGCTAGACTTGCTGGGCTGTTCTCTTTATTTAATGCTGCAATTATAGTAGATATGCAAGTACATGTATGATACAAACATGTACTTACATGTAATGCAGTATTGTCTTAATTGAGGCCCCATACATGTGCAATTTGGTACAAACTTATCCTGTAAGCATCTTTTCAAATACCTCAATCCGCCCTCTACCCTGCCCACTTCCTCAAAAACCATTACTCAGGTCAAAATGTCAAATGTCAAAACGTCAAAAGGTGCATTAATTGTAGGAGGGTTTCACATGCTCAACATGTTTGTTAGACTCTATGCACACGAAGCTAAATTATTGACGCAAGTGTTGAAGTTAACTGTCACAATTGACCAATCACAGGGCCCACCATGCCAGGAGTTGGTAAACCGAAATGAGTATTGAAAGCAATGCTTACAAGCTCCACTACTCAATCTCTCCCCAAGCCCCTGCACCCGCGGTTCTTGCACAACTTTTTTCGAACCGCTTTCCCCATTAACCTGGAGTCTGGAACAGGCTTTTTGTACTGTTACTCTGGCATGTGAACAGCTGATGTAATATTTAATATATAGACTTAGCCAGGGCTAAAAGCGAAGCTCCTATTAACTCGAATTTATGATTTAAATCGAACAATAAACTTGCAATTGTATTCCACAAATCAGTTAACTTTAGAGCACATTCATGCGACTTTTGCAAACAGTCCAAGCTAAGAGTGAACTTAATCTTAGATCGAGCTCATAGCCTTTATATACGTACACCCAAAGAATAGCAATCATATTCGATCACATTTAAGAGCCATAATGGCTCTTGATCACAGTAGACTAGGCCTGGAAAACAAATTCTTGGAAAACAAATCAGGCCGAATTTTTTGCGTTCGACAAGTTTATAATTTACTTTACAAAATCTTGCCAACAAGTCTGGGGACGTGTAAACCAACCTTTTGTACTTTTTATACATCACATCTAAGGTGAAACAGTACCATGAGGCGCTGTTTCTATCATACAGACCTCGGAAAGAATGCAGTATTTCACAATTTTGCAATACAAATTGCACTCACTCAAGATTCAGGACGATCGAAGCACGCGTCTGCTTTTACCGGAACCGTTAAAAAAATTTCCAAAATCACCTACATATACGGCTAGCCGGTTGTCACTTTTGACAAGCGCCAAAGTCGACTGTTTAAATCAAGATTAATAGAGTTATACGTTTCAACATGATACAGAATTTATTACGTTTATTTTTTTGTTTAATGGTTTTATAACGATGTGTAATCTTCGTTTGATACGCGCGGCATTTTGAGTACTCCTGCAAGCGATGTTCATTAGAGACTGAAAACAAACGGCACGGAGATTAAAATTGCAAACGAGACCACTAACAATCAATAAAAGGAAAATAATTCGGTGAAACATATACAGAGACAACAATTTTCATTCACGAAGACAAGTATTAAAGTGTCTCTGAAAATCCTTGTTTACGTTTTAAGCCTGCTTCCCGGTGTTTGCTTTTTTCAAAGATGAACTCGAGGCAAGAAAATTGCTCAAAGCTTTCTTTTACAGCCAGAATTATAGCTAAATATTTTTTGAAACGTTTTCTTTCTGTTTGCGGTGAGAAAATGTCTAAAGGCTTTTTAAAAGTTCCATTAGCTTTTAATCAAACCTGATACTCGGTCAGATCATTGTCTCAAATCTTACAAACGTGCATAAACTAAATAGCCGCATAAACTACGCCCGACTTCATTATATTAGATATAAAAAACAAACACCAAATACAATACTCAGGCTTACCGTTCGAGATGCACGGAAAACTATCAAGTAAGGCCAGAACCGCTTCAGACTTTTCAACCCTCTTACGCATCAAGCAAGGTGAAAAACGAAAACGATGCCATCCGAAATCAGATTTCCGACTTTGACAAGCGACGTATTTCTCAACCAAAACCCCAATAAACAAACTAGCTGTAAATAACAGAAGACTCTTGAAGCTTCTTGATAGCAGCAGAATTTCATTTTGTACATCCAGTGGAAAAAGACAGTTAAAAACATCACAAGCTGACACAAAACTCTGTCAGCTTCAGCTCTCAAAGTAAACAAGTTTCAAGATGCTGCATAAATTTTCCGCATGAGCTCACCTGTCAAATTTTGACCAATCAGAGCATAAAAATTGGACGTAGAGCGTGACCAGCACGTGACCTTGGTGAGAAAAGTCAAAAGCAACTGGCATGAACTGGCATGTCTTCTCTGCCTGTAAAAACTGGCTGAATTTTAGCTTCCGAGGTCAGTTTGAAATCAAAATTTTAATTGTGCGGCACATATTAAACACAACATATTTCATATGAATTAAAAAAGATTAAACTTGAGCCTGCGATCATTTGAAAACTAGTAACTTGTCAGCGGATAACTTTAAAAAGATACTCGACCTGGATGGGTCGACACCTGAGCCCGCGATATGGTCAGGTGATACTGGTCAGCGGATACTTTGTTTTGACAGCTGTCAATTGATCACAACATTGATGTACAATGTGTGTGCAATATCAGTCTTCCTGTGCTCCCAAACTAGCTAGAGTGAACATTGGTTGCCCTGTGGTGCGGACGGACGGGCAGGCGGTGTACAGTCACGTGATTACCAAATTTTCTGGGATGGGTAGATTTACTTACCCATGGTGCTCCGCAGGTGCGCTTCGCACACCAGAGCTTCGCTATTACTAATTTTGCTTTGGCTCACAGGTTGGAATAGACTTCACAGCCTCTAATGGTGACCCCACTAAGAGCACTTCACTTCACTACATCAATCCTTATGCACCAAATGAATACGCGCAGGTGCTGACGGCTGTGGGGGAAATTATTCAGGATTATGACAGGTAATGAACGCTTAAAACTAACTGGTCAAGAACTAAATTCTTGTTGGTGTCTATGTTGTGGTTTGATTTTATCCCTGGTTTAATTTTTATCTCCCATTGTCTCAAACTTGTTATCATACATTACCATACCTTACAAAAAAGGAAAATAAGATTTAGACCAGGGAAAGAATTGAACCACAACAGCTACACAAATGTGAGGTCCAAGTTATGTGGAATTGCTAAATTGCTTTGAATCATATGCGATCAGTGGATTTACTCGTGGGTTACAGTGTAAACTGTATGATGAAAATTTATTGGATGTAGGAATTTCTGTTCCTCACCCAAGGGCAGTTTTGACAAATATCACAGATGATTCTTGAAAATTTACTTCAGCCAGATCTGTTTTTATAGGGACAAATCATCTGACTGTTCCAAGTTTCTGCAGCATTAACTCCTCAAATGTCATTTTGCAGGGGAACCAGCAACCTGAATTGCAGATGGATCGAACTCCTGGTAATGTCTGCAAAACAGTGCCAAAATCCTTGTCCTGGGCAACCACTCATCTACCAGGATATGAGACGCCATTATTGGACTGTTAAAATGCTATTGTTGTTTTGTCAATCAATCAATCAAAGGGAAATTTCGGGTAATACATTGAGCCCATTAGGGACCCAGAACAAGGAATATGGGCACTACTTTGCGGACGTCACTAACCAGGGCAAGATTTTGTCTACGAGTGGTGTCAGTTTAGGGTCATGTTGGCTGACTCAGTTAGCAAGACTGTGTGGCTAGAGTGTGCAACAATGCATTAAAATAATGTAAAATTCCAAAAATAAGCCCTTCCATGTATAAGCCCCTCCATGTATAAGCCCTCCAAATATAAGCCCTCCCTCCCCAAATCGGTAATGAAAAAACCCTCCGTTAAACAACCCCTCCAAATATATGCCCCCCAGGGGCTTGTACTTGGAAAATTTCCCTCAAATACAAAGTAAAACAAAGCAAAAACGGTAAATTAAGCCCAATCGATTTTGAAACACAATTAAATTTCCCTCTGTAGATTAGCCCCTCCGAATAAGCCCCTCCAAAATTAAGCTCCTCAAAAACGGCCTTTAAAAAATGAAATTTTATGGTATACTTGTCAAATGAAACCTTTTCATCTTCTTTTTTACAGTGACAAACTTTTTCCTGCATTTGGTTTTGGAGCCAGAATTCCACCCTCGTACCAGGTATGTGGTCTGATAAGCTTTCTCCCCCTGGGAATTTTGGATCATCATATGTCTCTGGGAAACTGCCCACCTATCCCTCCCCAAAGCCAATATTAACACTTACTTCTCAGTTAGAACAAAATGTTGGCTTAGGGGAGGGGTAGGTGGGCAGTTTCCCAGAAACATGATCTGCAATTTCAAGGTTACATGCGGTTAGTGTTCTCATGCTTTAAACCAATGTTTAAATTAGTTTCTTTTTTACCACTTTTTAGGTTTCGCATCAGTTTCCACTGAACTTTAATCCTAGCAATCCTTACTGCGCAGGTATAAATAATATTTTATTATTTTCAATTGTTCTTTGTGCCTTTTTTGGTCAGCAGATCAAGTTATACAAGAGAGAGGACTGATGCTTGTATTGTATCATAGTGCCTCATGCTCACTTCAACCAGGTGTATAAATGGGTACTGGTAAATATTGATACTGGGGATATGCATGCAATAGAGGAGGAACCTTTCCAGGGGGGGAATAAAAATACATTGTATTCTTAGCTGCCATATAAGAGGTAGCACATCCATAAACTGGTTCTTCTACTTGGGTTTTGATGAAAGGGAAAAATCGGTAGAGTACCCAGAAGAAATTTAAGCCTCTTTGAGAAAATTAAGGAAGAGAACTAACAACTTAAGATGGAATCCACCAGGAAATTGAATAATTTTAATTTTCAGTGGACAAAAACCTTATACCAGAATAATTTAAAGAATATTGCATTCTTTTTTACATTTTTCAAGGGCTTAAGATGCAATAAATCATCTGTAGTAACACCAAAGAAAATTTATCATGGAGGTCCAAGAAAGTGAATGTCAAATTTCACAATTTGACCTGTGTATTCACAATTTTTGTGAATACACAGGTAAAATTCTGAACATTTCATGTTTAAGATGTCATTCTGTGAAATTTGACATTCATTATCTCGGACGTCCATGAGAAAATTTTTTTGGTGTTACTACAGATGATTTATTACATCTTTAGCCCTTGAAAAATGTAAGAAAGAATGCAATATGCTATTATTCTGGTACAAGATTTGTCCACTGAAAATCAAAATTACTCAATGTCCTGGTGGATTCCATCTTAAATTCAATGCAACTTTACATACATGTATGGTGTCAAGGCCCGGATTTGAACCTGGGCCACATCGGAGGGAGGCGAGTGCTCCCATTACTGTTCCACCTTTGCTCCCAATTTATACTACAGAAACCAGGTTGCTCCAACTGAAAAGCCACGGGGCTTAAAAGCAAACTTGAATGTACCATCGCTAGTAGCTTAAATGCTAAAACTGCAGTGTTTGTCTTGTTCTGCAGGTCTCCCTGGTTTAGTTCAGGCTTATCAGTCCTGCATACAAAGTGTACAGCTTTATGGTCCAACTAACATCTCACCTATCATCAACCATGTGGCCCACTTTGCACAACAAGCAGCTCAAACCCCAACTGCCTCTGTAAGTAGTGAAAAATTATTAAGGGTCATCGGTTAACAGGTTATCAGTTTAATTACAGTCAAATATCACCCCCATAGCTAGAGTCTGACAAGTTTAGTGAACTTACTTACCACAAATATTGCTTCAAGATCTCTGATTTCTTATCAGATATTGGAGGCCAAATCATAAGAACATGAATTAGTACCTCAAACTTTGAGTTGTGCAGGATCATCAGTGGAAATTTCATTAATCATGCTCTCCTCAGCTCTTACTGGCAGGTGCACTGCTGTAGGCACTGTAGTGTTTACTATTTCTGGTATTATATAAGTAAATGAAATAAGGGGATAATTTGGATGTTTTTTAAAATTTATTTCTCTTTCCAGAACTACTTCATACTTCTAATCCTGACTGATGGTGTAATCACAGACATGGATCAAACCAAGCAGGCTGTTGTAGCAGCATCAGGGCTTCCCATGTCAATCATTATTGTTGGAGTTGGAGGGGCTGATTTCAAAATGATGGAGGAACTTGACAGTGATGAAGGAGTGTAAGAAGATTTTAGAGTTTTTAATATCATCGTTAGTGAAACCTGTATTAAGCAGACTCCCATGGGACTAATTTTGGTGATGTTCACTCAATAGAGATGTCTGCTAAATACCCTCAGGTTTACAGAAAATATTATGAAAGTGAAGAATGAAAATGAATGAAATTCAAAAATGAATTATTTCATATATACTTCACATCAGAAAATATTATAATATAAAAGCTGGATTGCGGGGATTTGCCAGCCATGGGGCAGGATTCTATCTAGGGGCTGGCATGGCTGGCCACAGTGGAAGCCCCTGGGTTTCCCAGGCACCCACCTTCCACCTAAGCGAGGCAGTTGGTCAATTTTTTTTTTATGTTCTGATTATAGCATTAAAGGAGGTTGAAATGAGGCCTTAACTGACCGTTGATATGATTGATAAATTCTCCTTTTGTTAATCATAGGCAAATACTTGGCAATTTGGAATTTAAGAGTATTGATTACTATAGCAGTCTATCAGTTACTATATTACATATTATAATATATTACTTAATACTAAAATGAAAGGCTTTATCCACACAAGACAGACACTATCATTCATATCAAGGCAAATAATGTGATAAAATTAATTATTCAATTGCTAGATTTATGATAATTTACCAATAAATGTTTATGATGTTATAACTTAATCGTGTATTGCAATAATTATTTTGTAATGTCTTATGATCTTCAGGTTGAGGTCTGGTGGAAGATCTGCCCAGAGGGACATTGTTCAATTTGTTCCCTTTAGGAAGTTCAAAAATGTAAGCTTCCTGTTCATTCTGACTTGCTGTTGTATAATAATTTTTATACAACTCTCTGAAAGCTAGGCTTTTTTTAGGGGTGGGGCGGTAGTGGTGGTGGTTGGAGTAGGGAAGAGGGGGGCTGGGCATAAGCCTCAGTTGCACTGAGGGCAAAGAAGGGAGTACAGACAGTCATATAATTATCTTTGGGTGAGAAGAGGAAGTGTACATAGGGTTTGTATCGTACACAAGGACTGGCCTCCCCGAAGATCTGTCCGAAATTTCATTTTTGGCTCAGAGCAGTCCAAAGAATAGATTGTGTAGAAGTGTTCAGTATGTGAGCACTTTGCATGCTTTAAGTACTTAATACAGTGGTATTGTTATAATAATTGGGGGAATGATGGAGCCAGGTGACTTGGAAGTCTTCTTTTCTTTCAAAATTAATTTATTATGACTGTATTATTAAGTGTATTGTCAGTGAAAACTCTACAACTTTAAGAATTTTTCTAGGTAAATTTCATTTTGTGCATGTGTTGTCAAGTGGCTTTCGTTTGTTAAAGCATGTCTTTGGGCTTTGTCTTCGCTCATTATAAATTATGTTGATTATTTATTCCATTGTACGTTTCAGTCTTCTCCTGCTGCCCTTGCTAAAGAAGTATTGGCCGAGGTACCCAAGCAGCTGACAGAATTTTTCAGAGCCAGGAACATCTTGCCACAGCAGCGACCAACATAGGACAGTAAATTTAATTTATAAACAAAAATGAAATCAAGCGAGCAGGGCTGTCAAAAAGATTTTAAGTAGCAGGCTGGTAATAAATAGTAGGCGGCTTTGGAACTCGCACCAAAGGTACAAGTTCTTGAGGGCCGAGGCATCGTGGGACATTTTGAAATTAGTCTCGGAAATGCCGTTTCCAGGGGTTTTCAAGTGGTATTTCCGGTGCAGACATCTTGTTGTTTCGTCACAATACACGCAAGGCTAGGAACAATGCCGTCGAAATGTCTCAGGCGTTTTCCGCGACATCGCACTGTTCGAACGTTTCACAGATCTAAACCTGTTTAAAAATGCGTTCAGTGTCATTCAAAACCGGGAAACGGATGCTTTACAATTTTATTCGATAGTGCTTATTTTCAGTTTGCAGTTCTGATAGAAGAAGATGAAAGTAGCCTGTTAAGGATGGCTAACTACCCGGCGGGTTTTGTCTGGCTACCGGCCCTTATTGACAGCCCTGAGCGAGTAAACATGTTGTTAAGGTGTCCTTAGGATGTAAACGTGCTAGAGAAAAAATATTTTTTGGCACCTCAGCTTTAGAACTGCCGGCTAAAAGTTGAGATAGATGCCCTCTTATAATTTCCTAGCCCAAACGCTTCTTGGTATTTTAATCTCAAGTTCAGTAAGAAAAGTAAATGGTCAACAAAAATATACTTGAGAGGGCTATACATTACACTACCCGCTGGGGGGGTACTCCCTTAAATTTCAGATAGATGTGTGCCAACCAGGGTTTAAAACCCTGACCCTATTAAACGAAGAGACAAACGAAAATTTACATCCCATTTAAGGCCCAAACACGGAAAATGACACCCTATCCTACATGTATACAAGGGAAAAACAAAAGCTAAAAATTTAATGGGAACATACAAACCTTCATCAAATCGCTTTCCTAATACTATAAGGAATATTTCAGGTTTAATAATGCTTTGTTTCTCATCTACCTGGGCATTGTGCTCTTGAATCTCACCTTATTAAATTCCAGGTACCCTATGTATCTAAGTATCACACCAGGGATGCAATTAAGGATCGGGTCCCTCAAAAACCATACCCTATCGGGCGGCACATACCTATCTAGCCCATTTATGGACGTACCCCCCACCCCGGGCACTACCATCGGGATCATTACAAGCCTCATGGAAATGATTTTTTTCCGTGAAAATTTGAGAGCAGACCTCTCTATTTTGTCTGCATTAAGCTTGCACTGTGTCACAAAAACAGCACAGGCTGGGGGCTTTTTTAAAAATGGCCGTTTTATGCTAGACACTTTTGAGCCGTCTGTTGACGTCGTCTTTACACAACTTTAAATAATAATTTAAAAAAACGAAAGTGATAAAAGAAGACAGTTGAGTATAACATCTGACGACTTTAATGTCTTCTGTTAAAGGACACACTTTACAGACAAATGTGGAACAGAAAAAACTTGTCCAGAAACGACTGGAAAGAATTAGTGTTCTGTCTTCAGAAAACTCTCGACTGTTTTTTTTTCCATGTTTTTGTGTACTTTTGTGCGTCCTGTAAAATGGCCAATGTTGTACTCACTTATGTTCTGTCAACGTCAGAGATGGGGCTTTGCAAATGAGTAGCCAAATGTTAATGACTGGGAAAGGCATAACATAAAGACACCTTGACCAATTTTTCTTCAGAGTGATGGGTCTGGCAGTAAAAACTTTTTTTTCGGTAGTCCAGTTTTGAGTTCGCTATGACCGCTGAATTGAAGAAGTGAAGACGCATTTTTTACAGGCTTAGCCTCCATCTGAAGTAAATATATTCACAAATTCCAACGAGAAAAAGACCTGTGTTTTACTCTGTCTATTGTGTATATTCAAATTTCAAACACTTACTTGCCGGAATTTCTGAATACTTATTACGTTACGTCGAGGCTAACCCTGTATGAATGTGCCGTTAATGTTTGTATTCAGCGGTAATTTCTAATTCGAAACTGGACTATTGACTATTAATTTTTGCCTTACTGGGTGTGTATATGTACTGCAGTTACGTCAAACCTTTGTCAGCATTTTTTTTAGCATTCCACATTCCTTTTTCTGCAAACTTGGCCATCATAGCAACATTTCCTTGTTTAGTTTTACTTTTATAGACAAGAGTGTGAGACATTTTTAAAATAGTGACGTGTATTTAAAGATATTTACGTATAATTTTCTGCTTAAATTTAAGTTGCCTTTGGTTTTTAAATCTATTATTTTATGCATCGCTGTGTTAATGTAGGGGTGGTGAGCAATGTACGTAGCCACAATACAAATGCATAGTTTTTTTAAGTATGGTGATATACCTATTTTATTTTTTCTAGCAGGTATGTACAAGTAAAATATACAATTTTTACAGGTGTAAAAATAAGGTATCAGAACAAAGAATGGATAGTATCTACTTTAACTATTTAAAAGATCATAGTCATCTTGATATTATTGCATATTGGAAAATTATGAAGATACAGTATTATGTATGTGCATGAATGTTTTGTGGTTCAATTTTATCCATAGCTTAATTTTCGTTTGTGGGTCCCTTGCACTTAGTCATCAGTCACCAGCGTGTCGCACTCACCACTTCGCTCCCCTTCATTCACGCAAAAAGTGCAAATTTGATACAAATGCAAAAAAAAACTGAGGTAAAGGAAACTAAGGTAAAATTTGTTTTTTGTTCCATGGTTGTTGGTCAAAAATTAGAAATTTTGTCCTTGTTTGTTTTTCAGCAAAAAAAGACCATACAAAGTGTTTTGTGAACTTCTAGATAGTAACTTAGCCATTTTAAATTCGAAAAACATCCATTTAAAAAAGACGAAAATTTGGTATTTTTCCAAAGGGGTTAGTCCATGGTTTTTGGTAAAAAATTTGATGTTTTGTCCTGTTTTGTTTTTCACAAAAAGAGGCCAAGACAAAGTGTTTTGTGACCTTGTCGATGGAAAACTAGCCATTTAAGACTAAACAACATCCATTTGCATTTTTCTAAAGAGGTAAGTCCATGGTTCTCGGCCAAAAATTGGAAATTTTGTCCTTTTTTGTTTTTCAGCAAAATAGGCCAAAACAGAGTGTTTTGTGACTTTCTAGATCGAAAACTAGCCATTTTAGACTAGAAAAGATCGATTTAAAAAGTAGAAAAATTGCATTTTTTCAAAGGGGTAAGTCCATGATTTTTGGTCCAGACTTGGGAAGTTTTTCATTTTCAGTTTTTCAGTAAACGAGTTGGAAACAAAGTGTTCGGTTACCTTGTAGATAGAAATGTAGCCATTTAAGGCTCAAAAAACATCGATTTAAAAAGTCGAAAATGTAGCGTTTTTCCAAAGGGGTTAGTCCATGCTTTTGGTCAAAAATTGTAAATTTTGGCCATTTTTAGTTTTCCAGCAAAATAGTCCGAAAAAAGTGTTTTCTGACCTTGTATTTAGAAATCTAGCCATTTAAGGCCCAAAAAACATCGACTTTAAAAGTCGAAAATGTTGCAATTTTTCTAAGGGGTTAGTCCATGATTTTGGGTAAAATATTAGAAAGTTTTTTCTTTTTTTTCCTGATTGTTGGTCAAAAATTTGAACGCTGTGTCCTTTTTTTTAGCTAAAAGTCCAAAACAAAGTGTTTTGTGACGGTCTAGCTAGAAAACTATCCATTTTAAGCCAGAAAAACGTTAAAAATTTGGCATTTTTCCAAAGGGGTTAGTCCACGGTTTTTGATAAAAAATTGGAAATTTTGTCCTTTTTGTTTTTCAGCAAAATAGTCCAAAATAAAGTGTTTTGTGACATTGTAGACAGAAATCTAGCCATTTAAGACTACAAAACGTAGATTTAAAAAAGACGAAAATTTTGCATTTTTCAAAGGGGTTAGTCCACCGTTTTCATAAAAAATTGGAAATTTTGCCCTTTTTGTTTTTTAGCAAAACGGTCCAAAACAAAGTGTTTTGTGACCTTGTAGATAGAAATCTAGGCATTTAAGACTACAAAACATGAATTTAAAAAAGTCGAAAATTTTGCATTTTCCAAAGGGGTTAGTCCATAATTTTTGGTCAAAAATTGGAAATTTTGTTCCTGTTTAGTTTTTAAGTAAAATAGTCCGAAACAAGGTGTTTTGTGACCTTCTGGATAGAGGACTAGCCATAGGGGTTAGTCTATGGTTTTTGGTCAAAAATAGGAAAGTTTCTACCAGTTTAGTTTTTCAGCAAGATACTCCAAAACAAAGTGTTTTGTGAGCTTATAGATAGAAATATAGCCATTTAAGACTACAAAAATATGAATTTGGAAAAGTAGAAAATTGTTATTTTTCAAAAAGGGGAAGGCTATGGCTTTTCAAGAAAAATTGGAAAATTTGTCCTTTTCTTTTTTTGTTCATCAAAATTGGCCAAAGCAAATGGCGTTTTGTGACCTTGTAGATAGAAATCTACCCACTTAAACCTTCCTTAAAATATCGATTTAAAAAGTCGAATAATTTGCATTTTTTTAATCGGCTTAGTCATTGATTTTTGGTCAAAAATTAGAAAGCTTTTTTCCTTTTTTTCCTGATTTTTGGTCAAAAATTTGAACGTTTTTTCCTTTTTTTTTCAGCTAAATAGTCCGAAAAAAGGTGTTTTGTGAGGTTCTAGCTAGAAAACTATCCATTTTAAACCAGAAAAACGTCGATTTCAAAAAGTCGAAAATTTGGCATTTTTCCAAAAGGTTTAGTCCACGGTTTTTGATGAAAAATTGGAAATTTTGTCGTTTTTGTTTTTTAGAAAAAAGAAAGTTTTTTCCCTTTTTTTCCTGATTTTTTGTCACAAATTTAAACGTTTTTTCGTTTTTTTTTTCAGCTAAATAATCCGAAACAAAGTGTTTTGTGACGTTCTAGCTAGAAAACTATCCATTTTAAACCAGAAAAACGTCGATTTCAAAAAGTCGAAAATTTGGCATTTTTTCTAAAGGAGTTAGTCCACGGTTTTTGAAGAAACTTGGAAATTTTCTCCTTATTGTTTTTCAGCAAAATAGTCTAAAACAAACTGGTGACATTGTAGATAGAAATCTAGCCACTTAAGACTACAAAACATGAAGTTAAAAAAGTCGAAAATTTGAAAATCTGAAATTTTGTTCCTGCGTAGTTTTTCAAAAAAATAGTCCGATATAGGGTTTTTTGTGACCTTCTGGATAGAAAACTTGCCAATTTAGACTGAAAAAACTTTGATTTTAAAAATTAGAAAATTAGCATTTTTCCTTAGGGATTAGTTTACGGTTTTTGGTCAAAAATAGGAAATTTGTTCCTGTCTAGTTTTTCAGTAAAATACTCCAAAAGAAAGTGTTTTGTGAGCCGATAGATAGAAATATAGCCATTTAAGACTACAATAATATGGATTTAGAAAAGTAGAAAATTGTTATTTTTCAAAACGGGTAAGGCTATGGGTTCTGGTCAAAAATATGGAAACTTTGTCCTTTTTTATTTTTCAGCTAACTTGGCCAAAGCAAATTGCGTTTTGTGACCTTGTAGATAGAAATCTAGCCACTTAAACCTCAAACAATATCGAATTAAAAAGTTTTTTCCTTGTTTTCAGCTAAATAGTCCGAAGCAAAGTGTTTTGTGACGTTCTAGCTAGAAAAGTATCCATTTCAAATCAGAAAAACGTCGATTTCAAGAAGTCGAAAATTTGGCATTTTTGCTAAAGGGTTAGTCCACGGTTTTTGATGAAAAATTGGAAATTTTGTCCTTTTTGATTTTTAGCAAAAT